TTTTTTTCCAGCACGTTGGGGAGAAACAGATGATGCCCTCTATTTGAGATCAATACAGTAATTATGTTGGACAAGCTCTTAGGGCTAACTTGAGGGGGAATTCACAGCCTCATGAATGAGGAGTGTGAAAGCACACAGAATGAGAAGGGCCAGCCTGCCACCCGCGCTTCGCTTGTGGGATGCAGCCCGTTACACAGTAAGATCCCCTTCTGCAGCAACCTTGGTCTGGCCTCTGCTGGGTAAGACACAGCAGAGGCTCAATCTACTACAAGCTGGTGCAGGTCTCAATTCTAAAGTCAAACCAGGCCAGGCACAGTGGCTCACTCCTATAATCCCAGTACTTTGGGAGGCCAAGGCAGGCAGATCACTTGAGGTCAGGAGTTTGAGACCAGCCTGACCAACATGGTGAAACCCTATCTCTACTAAAAATACAAAATACTGGGTGCAGTGGCTCATGCCTGCAATCCCAGCACTTTGGGAGGCCGAGGAGGGTGGATCACAAGGTCAAGAGATCGACACCATCCTGGCCAACATGGTGGAAACCCTGTCTCTACTAAAAATACAAAAATGAGCTGGGCATGGTGGCATGTGCCTGTAGTCCCAGCTACTGGGGTGGCTGAGGCAGGAGAATCACTTGAACCCTGGAGGCAGAGGTTGCAGCACTGCACTCCAGCCTGGTGATAGAGCAAGACCTCACCTCAAAAAAAAAAAAAAAAAAAAAAAAAATTAGCCAGGCGTGGTGGCAGACATCTGTAATCCCAGCTACTCGGGAGGCTGAGGCACAAGAATCGCTTGGACCCAGGAGGCAGAGGTTGCAGTGAGCCAAGACCGTGCCACTGTACTCCAGCCTGGGCAAGAGAACAAGACTCAGTCTCAAAAAATAAAATAAAATAAAATAAAGTTAAACCAATGTCACTTTGAAGAGGTCATATAACTCCTGGCAAGCCACAATTCTGCAACCTCCTCCTTCCTCATATCTAGTGAGTCTCAAGAGATACTTAAACCTTACCATATGCAGATATCTCACATGGTTAGTATCATGTATTTATTTGGTAACTGGTTCTATCATTTGTTGGGGGAGGGGAGACTTAAGAAATACCTGTTTTGTGTACTCTACCCTTGAACGATATTATTCACTAAGTGTCACCAGGTAAATAAATAATGAAAAACACAATTCTCGGACCAGGAAGTGATCTCTGAGCACCAGCCACAGGCCTCCACATGGCTTTGCTTCCCGGTGCCCACAGAGCCCTGCCTCGGCAGCTCGAGACACCTGTTCCTGATATTCTTGGCAATGACGATCAAAACAACTGAAGCTGCCCCTTTGGGGCAGAAACTGCCCATCACTGAGACATAAATCTTCAACATGCATTCTAAGCGTGTTTCAAATACCTTTCAACATGACCCTGCAAAATAAACACCAAATCGAGAAGCCTTGCAGTTTGGCCATTGGCTTCATTATCCTTATGGGACAGAAGGAAAGATTATGTAGCAGGATGGTGGAACACCTGTCTAGCTATCATTTTAGCTGGAAGGGCTTGAAGTAAAACGTAGTTTCTAAAGTTCTCAGAGAAGATGCTCCAGGTAGCTTGGCTAGGTGGTTACAAGACCTCCTTTTGTAAGACTTACAGAAGAGATTCCAACAGCATTTCCTCAGAAAGGCAACCGTTTTCCTAAATACAAAGAAAAATACAAAGCCTTTTGCCTCAACAATATTATTGCTTAATCCTCTGAGTGTAGTAAACAAAAATGGCAAATACTGTTAGAGATTAAGAAATTAAGGTAAAGCAAGATTAAGTCACTTTTGTTACAAGGTAAATGGTGACATTATCTGTAACACAGGTGGTCCAACTTCTACAACTCCACACTTTCAACACCTGCCTGTATGTTTATGTGCTATCTGGATAGCTAGCGGACTTCATAGCCCAATTAACAGTCAGAAGGGGGAAAAAAAATCCAAGGTTTGGGATATATGGGATGCAGAAGTGGTTTTTGTCTTCCAGTGAGACTGTCTACCTGGCACACACGACCTGACACAGAAATGTTGCTCAGGGAAATCAACAAAGTGCTATTTTACGAATGTTTATAATTTGTACTTTAATGAAAAATAGAGGGTTCCAATAATGTTGATAATCAAATCCCCAGCCAGTATTTCTGCCCATAGAATGTCTAGATGGGTGTGTGTGGGGGGGGGTATAGGGGAGAGAGTGATGCCAGCTTTCAGAATGAGAAATGTTGTTGACAAAACCCTGTACTCTGGGGTGGGGGTGGGAGTATGGGACGTTCATAGATGTGCACTTTTTTTGTGTGTGTGTGTGACAGGGTCTCACTCTGTCGCCCAAGCTGAGTGCAGTGGTGTGATCACAGCTCACCGCAGCCTCGACCTCCTGGGGTCAAGCAATTATCTTGCCTCAGTCTCCTGAGTAGCTGGGGCCACTGGCGTACCTGGCTAGTTTTTGTTTTATTATAGAGATGAAGTCTCACTATGTTGCTCAGGCTGGGAAATGAGAAAATCTTCGTAAAATGCAAACGCTGGCTTTTCATCTGCATGCACTGTGTTCGCAGTCCCCTGCAACACTGAACGAGCTGAGGACTAAAGTGCCCGAGAGAAAGGATATGATTCTGCCCCACGATTCTGTAACAGGAAAGACAGGCTTTCCTGCTCATTTCGCTTCAGCAGTTTGTTTAGACAGAGAAAAATCATCGCCTGGGTTTTTAAAACAGGTTATTCAACCTGAGCATTAGATTCCAATATTAACCAGAGTCTGATGAGCAGATCTATGACCACACGGACCAACCAAAAGGACATTTAAAATAACTGAAAAATTCACTCTGGATTATGATTCCACAGAAATAAAAGGACACTCATATCTTTTTAATTTGGCCGGAAGGTTAACAGTAATTCTAAACAATAGAGTTCATAAATACACAGAAAGATACTTACTCCCCAGGAAATGAAGACACCCAAATGCAGCCTATTTTAGTTCGTGGTGACAATCTGTACCAGTGTAGTATGTTGTACACATTCGTTTGAGATTAAAGAATGGTCAGAAATATAAAAGGGAAAAGACCCAAGCTTCATTATACGTTGTATAGGAGACTAATCTAATATAAAAAAGTACACATGCACAGCATTAGAACCCCAACACAAAGAGTCTCTGAACTTTTCACAGTCCAGAAGGCAAATGGACTCCATCTATTCGTAATTACAGAAACGAGAATCGGGCTTTAGATTATACCCTTTACCTGTTTTCCCTATACAAAGTGAGAAGGGTGGCAATGCAAAGCCATGCAATACAAGCATACGTGTCTTTGCAACTCTGCCTACTATGGGTGGGAGAGGCCCCAGTCCAGGGTTTCTGAGAGCACAGGAGTGGCCTGTGGATGCAGATTCCGATTCAGTGGGTCTAGGGCCTGAGCTCCTGCCTTTGTAATAAAGCTTCATAGTGTCGCTGGAGCCGCTGGGCTGCAGTTACTTTGAGCAGTGCCAGCAGAACAAGGCAAGTTGTCAGAGCAGGAGGAAGACCACCCTGAGCTGCTCGCTTGGTGTCCATCCCACCCCTGGGCAGAGGTAATAAAGAAGCCAGTACTCAGAGCAGGTACCAGCCTGTAAGATTTACAAAAGGCTGTTATTTTGTAGCACTGCAGGAGGAAAAAATACCCAAGTAACAAATTTCAAAACTGTTATCAACAGCAAATTGGGGAAAATGTATCAGATTTCTGGGGACTACTAACATGTTTATGTCAATCCCCGAAAAGAACGTTCTCTGGCCAACAAGCTTCTTTGTTAGGAAAAGGAAGCGGCTTCATCAAGCATTATGTGAACTTGTATAAAAGTCTTTACCTTGAGAAAGAAGAAGTTTGTGTTACACTTTTAGGCTCCTGCATTCATTTCTTTGGAGCTAATAAAACAATGATATCTAAAAATCAGGATCCATCAGCTCAACTTCAAGTCCTTCACCTGTGCCAACCTCAAGGCCAGAACAGCTGGTCTCTTGGTTCTGCTCCTAGGATGGCTTCTGAGGGGGGCTATGTGCAGCTCTCACCTTCTCCCACAGGCTCATTAGAGACCCCTGCCTCCTCAGAGGGCACAGACTGAATACATTAGAAACACAGGGGGGAAACACAAACACGAAGTTAGAATTTTACTACACAGCCATAATTACTCTGACAAAAGGAGCTATTCAAAAGGGATGCTGCCAAGGTTATTGGGTCTCAAATCACAGTCTGCCTTCCCCATCCATTATCTGAGTTCAAATTTTCATGAAAGGGGGAAAAAGCCTGGCACAAATCCAAGGCCAAGAAAAGTGTTAACAAGAGAGATGCCTAAGCTAGCATCTCAGCCACAAACTTATACATACGTACTCAACAGAGAAACCTTTTTTTTTTTTTTAAAGGAAAAACTCCAATCTTAAGTTCAATTAAAAAAACCCTTCAATATTCTTAAGAATATTGCTTCGGTTACGTGTTGCTAAGAATGACAATCCTGGGTTGGATGGACAGCACATCCCCATCCGTATACTCTTTTCCTTTTTTAAACAATGATCTAAGATATCCTCTCAGGGCATTTTGGAAGAATGCTTTCAAAAAGGGAACTGAGGTCCAAGAAACAGTGACATGGAGGACAGACAGGAAGAACAAATTTTATAGAAACCTTGTGTTATCCAAATGTACTTCAGTCTGATTTACTCTTCTGACAGGTAGGCAGATTTTTTATTTTCAAACGTGCCAGGTAAAATTCCCACTTTTGAATAATAGCAAAACCGGAAAAAGATGCTTTCACACGTAATAAATGTTCTCCATCCTTTCTGAAATGCACCAAAGCAAAAAGCCTCTGAAGTCAAAAAATGAGACATAATTCCTTACTCATTGCAGGAGACACGCAAGTGCCCCTCCTTTACCTAACACCAAGAGACCGACGGCCGGGCAGTGTAAGGCGGGTGGTGCTGCAGCTGACATGGAGGAGAGTCTAAATCTGAAGACACTTTTCCACACTTAGGACAAGTTCTTCACTTTCATGCTTTATTGAAAGTAGAATATGAATCAAAGACAGGCATTGGTAAGCAGGTTATGTCTCTAAAATTACTTTTCGTTCAGAGCAGAATGTTGTCTCATCTACTTGATACAATCCTTTATGGACCAACGCATCTGGTATGAAACTCGAGCAAGGAAATATAACAGAACTTTATTCCCTCCCACGACTATAAATCTCATATGTAAACATGATTTACTATTACTGCTACTAAACTTGTTCCGTCTTTACTTGCCCCCTCCCACCCACCACCCCCCTTAAATATAAAATTGGAAACATTTCCTTCAAGTCTGATGTCCATCAGTGCAATCTGCTTTATTTGACATAAGGCATTGGGGACAGTCACGTTTGAATCGATTTCTGCCTTTTGGAAGGGGCATGTAATGGTTTAATTCTTAAATCCACCTTTGCTTTAATGCCCTAACATGTCAAACTCCTCTTCCCCTCTGGTTGTTTCTTAGCAGTCAGCAAGTATTCCAAGATTAATGTCCAAGAAGACCAGTACCTGGGAAAAGAAACACACATGGAGGGATAGTTGTGAACTACAGATTAAAAGTTCATGGATTCCATTTACCAAGAACACATCATCAACAGGGAACATCCAATTTAATAAATGAACACAGCAGCACCTTGGTGTGGGAGGATAAGACAAAATACCAGCAGACTCCAGGCTCCACGCTAAATCACATTTCTGTTGAAAGCCATGTGCTTCCTAAGTGTATCTTCACACAAACTAACCAGATTTTATTGATGCTTTCATTTAATGACCGTTTTTCTTTTTTGAGACAGTTTCACTCTTGTTGCCCAGGCTAGAGTGCAATGGTGCAATCTTGGCTCACTGCAACCTTCACCTCCCAGGTTCAAGCAGTTCTCCTGTCTCAGCCTCCCAAGTCGCTGGGATTACAGGTGCATGCCACCATGCCTGGCTAATTTTTGTATTTTTAGTAGAGATGGGGTTTCACCATGTTGGCCAGACTGGTCTCGAACTCCTGACCTCAAGTGACCCACCTGACTTGACCTCCCAAAGTGCTGGGATTACAGGCGTGAGCCACCGTGCCCAGCCAGTGACCATTTTTCATAAAGACATTTTTTGCTTTGTTTTGACCCATCAGGAGTCCCTTTGTAGTGGTAACATGCAGACAACAAAGCTGCAGCAAGAGGAAGACTTTATTTCGGCCAGTAGATTTGTCTCTTATTTGCTTTAGCAAGGAATACCTGGCATGTGATTCAAAGTCATTCCTTAGCAAAATCACAGCCTGCCATGGGCTTCTGGAGTAGCCGGCAAAGAATCAAGACAGCAACAGGAAAATCCGAAAACGTCAAAGGTCTGTATCTGATGACTTCTTGAATATTATCGGTGTACACATCTACATGGCCCAGATGTAGTACGAGCACCACCGTGTCTCCTCTTGAAGTAATAATCCAACAAATGCCTTAATGCTAAGTGATTAATTAAATCTTTTCACTGAACCTGATAAAATCTGACAAATTCTTGTATCACTAATTCTTAATAGTTACACACAAACTGTTTTGCTCTAGGAGGGGACTTGATAGGAAGAACTGGGAAAAGGTTAAAAATAAATCTCGAAATGCCACTAGCTAATTTCCCAACCTCCCATAAAATGAGAAAGGGAAGGCCAAATGGACATCTGGCAAGAAACAGTTCTCACACACAGGCCCCAGCTGAGGCCCCATCTGAGGCTTGAGTGTTGAAAAAGATAATGAAGAAGCTTGAATAAGAAATGCATTTAACTAAAATTAATTTCAGTCATGAGACTCAGATTGGATTAAAATTTAAAAATCAAATTATAGCCTTCGCTTTAATAGAAAATTACAGGATGACTCTGACATTCATGAACAAAACATGACAAATGTAACTTACCTTTAAACCCTTCTTCTGGCATACAAACTGAAAAACAGAAAAAAAGTAATTCTAAATTGAAAAGATTGTCGTGACAGACAGTAATAAGATCACTTCAATGCTTAAAGACAAAGTTTAAAATAACTTTTGATTATCTTAAGTCACCTGTAATAATCATCTTTGAAGTTATGTATGTTATTAATCTCAGAACAATCTTTGTTTCTGTTTTTATCAAAGCAATACATATGCATCATTTAAAAAGTCAAATACTGACAGGACAAGGTTTGTAACTGGGGCACACCTTGTGCACGACTCTAGGAGTGGCCTGGGGGGAAGCCACGTAGCTGACTCCTCCGGACTTGTCTCTCTCGGCCTCCTCCTCCCGTTCCCAAGTTCTGGAAGGAGTCACTTTTGACTAATATAGCAGCTGCTTCTGGTGTTTAGCCTATTTCTAAATAACATGCTTTTCATAATTTTAATTTATTTACTTCTTTTTTTTTTTTTTTTTTTTTTTTGAGAGGGAATCTAGCTCTGTCGCCCAGGCTGGAGTGCAGCGGCATGATCTCAGCTAACTGCAACCAATGCTTCCTGGGTTCAAGCAATTCTCCTGCCTCAGCCTCCCAAGTAGCTGGGATTACAGGTACCTGCTACCACGCCTGGCTAAATTTTGTATTTTTAGTAGAGACAGGGTTTCACCATGTTGGCCAAGCTGGTCTTGAACTCTTGACCTCAAGTGATCCACCCGCCTCGGCCTCCCAAAGTGATTACAGGAGTGGGCCATCATGCCCGGCCTACTTCACAATTTTAGATAAAATCTAATAAATTCTTCAGTGAATGATACAAACAGCTGTTTTACCGCTTACATAGCACCCGCCCCTGACCCAGCCTCCTGATGAAGTGGTGTTTGTTGTTGTTAAGCCAGTCTCCAGGGCTGGCATTACTTTTTACTCCATTAATACTGGTTACAGTAGAATGCCTTCGTGCACCTTGGTTTTATTTCCTATGTGGTATGACTCGGTCTTTCTGGACTTAGTAACTACTGAATTACTGATGTGTTTCATTTTCTCTGTATTTATCTCCAATTCACATGTAAATTCTTAAAGACTTGTAACCTCTTGAAGACAGTCATCATCACTTCCACTTTTCCTTGTGGCATCCCTTGCTGAAGCTCGCATCCCACCACTCCAATATGGATCAGGTGTCTTCACCCTCCTGCTGAAGAACAGCAGTTCTGAGACTTCCCTTCACCATCTTCTAGGGCATCTTATCCTAGGCTGATCCCCTATTTACTGGGTCCACTGTTGATTTCTTTCTTGATTTAATGTTTAAGAAAAAGAACACATCCTCACACAGTATCTTGGCAGATGGTACATGACAGATCAATCTTTTGAGGCCTTATATATGTTCAAGGGGCCATCAGGTGTGAGGGTTACAGAATTCTAGATTGGAACTCGCTTTCCCTCAGATCTTGTGGGCACTGCTCCATTATCTCGTCTTCCTGACTTCATCCTGTGAATTCGACTGGCTTTCCCTCCTACTTCTAGATGCTTTCCTGACAGTCTTACCCTTCGTTTTTTACTTACTACATGAAACCCAGGGTGCAATCATTTTTTATATTTCCATGAACTCTTTTCTATGCTCCAATGTTCCTTTTATATAGTTCCTCTTCCTATTGTTTGCTTTTTTTTTTTTTTTTTGGCCATTATTTATAGGTTATTTTCCAGCTTTCTTATGCTTCCTATGCTATTTCCTTGACAAATTTTGGTCCCAGGCTTTCATTCCTCAACTATCTGGCTGCTCATATTTACTTAAGTATGAGGTACTAAAAAGATTTCTGGGCCGGGTACAGTGGTTCACGCCTGTAATCTCAGCAAATTGGGAGGCCGAGGCAGGCAGATCATGAGGTCAGGAGTTCTAGAGCAGCCTGGACAACATAGTGAAACCCTGTCCCTACTAAAAATACAAAAATTAGCTGGGCATGGTGGCAGGTGCCTGTAGTCCCAGCTACTCGGGAGGCTGAGGCAGAAGAATCGCTTGAACCCAGGAGGGGGAGATTGCAGTGAGCTGAGATTGTGCCACTGCGTTCCAGTTTGGGCAACAGTGAGACTCCATCTCGGGGGGAAAAAAAAAGATGTCTGAAATCTCTGTTCAGTGGGCAATGGTGGGATTGACTAAAGGGTGCCTGGGACATGAACCAGCTTAAAAAAAATACAACCAAGGCCAGGTTCAATAGCTCATATCTGTAATCCCAGCACTTTGTGATGCCGAGATGGGCGGATCACCTGAGGACAGAAATTTGAGACCAGCCTGGCCAATATAGTGAAACCCCGTCTCTACCAAAAATACAAAAGTTAGCCAGGCATGGTGGCACATGCCTATAGCCCCAGCTACCCAGGAGGCTGAGCTAGGAGAATCACTTGGACCCCGGAGGCAGAGTGAGCCATACTGCACTCTAGCCTGGGTGACAGAACGAGGCTCCATCTCAAAAAAATAAAAAATAAAAACCAAACATAATATTTGTACATATTTATGGGGAACAGGTGATATTTTGACATATGCATACAATGTATAATGATCACATCAGGGTATTTAGTATATCCATCACCTTGAATATTATTTCGTCTTTTTTGAGACAGGGTCTCAATCTGTCACCCAGGCTTAAGTGTAGTGGCATGATTACAGCCCACTGCAGCCTCCAACTCCTGGGCTCAAGCAATCCACCCACCTCAGCCTCCCAAGTATCTGAGACCACAGGTGCGAGCCACTATGCCTGGCTTTTAAAAATTTGTAGTCGAGACAGGGTCTCACTATGTTGCCCAGGCTGGTCTTGAACTCTTGGGCTCAAGTGATCCACTGCGCCCGGCCTATCATTTCTTTGTGTTGGGAACACTGCATTATCTTTTCTTCTAGCTCTTTTGAAATATACAACATATCACCCTACTGTGCTATCGAACACCAGAACTTATTCCTTCTATCAAATTCTATGTTTGTACCCATTAACAAACCTCCCTTAATACAGCCCCTTTCCCACCCACTCATAACTATCATCCTACAGCCACAAGATCAGCTTTTTTAGCTCCTACGTATGAGAAAATATAGTATTGTCTTTCTGAGCCTGGCTTATTTCACTTAACATAATTTCCTCCAGTTTCATCCATGTTGCTGCAAATGACAGGATTTCATTTTTTTAATCGCTGAATAATAGTATCCCATTGTATGTGTACATATAAATATAACATATCTTATCAATGCATCTACTGATGGACATGTAGGTTGATTCCATACCTTGGCTGTTGTGAACAGTGCTGCAATAAACATGAGACTGCAGATATCCTTTTGATACACTGATTTCTTTTCCTTTGGAATAAATACCACTAGTGGGATTGCTGGATCATATGGCAGTTATATTTTTAGTTTTCTGAGAAACTTCCATACTGTTTTCCATAATGGCTGTACTAATTTACATTCCCACCAACAGTGTATAAGAGTTCCCTTTTCTCTGCATCCTAGTTACATGTTATTGTCTTTTTGATAACAGCCATGCTAACTGGGATAAGGTGGTATCTCACTGTGATTCTGATTTGAATTTCCCTGATGATAGTGATGCTGAGCATCTTTCATACACCTATTGGCCATGTTTATGTCTTCTTTTGAGAAACATCTATTCAGGTCCATTGCCTACTTTTTAATGAGATTATATTTTCTCCCATTCTACAGGTTGTCTCCTCAACTCTGCTGATTATTTCCTTTGCTGTGCAGAAGCTTTTTAGTTTAATATAGTCCATCTCGTTATTTTTGGTTTTGTTCCCTGTGCTTTGAGGTCTCAGCTAAAATCTCTGTCTAGACCAATGTTTGACAGCATTTCCCCCATGTTGAATTCTAGCAATTTCATAGTTTCAAGTCTTACATTTAAGTCTTTAATCCATTTTTAGTTGATTTTAACATACAGTGAGAGACGGAGGTCTGGTCTCATTTTTCTGCATATGGATATCCAGTTTTCCCAGCAAAATTTATTGAAGAGGGTGCCCTTTCCCCAAGGTATGTTCTTGGTGCTGTTGTCATGAATTAGTTGGCTGTAAATACATGAATTTATGTTTGGATTCTTTATTCTGTTCCATTGTCCTATGTTTTTATACCAGTACCATGCTGTTTAGGTTACCATAGCTTTGTAGTATATTTTGAAACCAGGTAGCATGATGCCTCCAGCTTTGTTCTTTTTGTTGAGGATTAAGATTTGGCTATTCAGGGTCTTTTGTGCTTCCATATGAATTTTAGGATTGTGTTTTTCTATTTCTGTGAGGAATTGGTATTTTGATAGGGACTGCATTTAATCTGTAGATTACTTTGGGTAATATGGTTAATTTTAACAATATTAATTTTTCTGATCCATGAGCACAGGATGTCTTTCCATTTGTTTGTGTCTTTCAATTTCTTACATTAGTGTTTTGTAGTTTTCCTTGTAGAGGTGTTTCACCTTCTTGGTTAAATTTATTCCTAGGTATTTAATCTTAATTTTTTTGTAGCTATTATTATTGGAATTGCTTTTTTTTTTTTTTTTTGAGATGGAGTCTCTCTGTCATCCAGGCTAGAGAGTGCAGTGGTGTGATCTTGGCTCACTGCAACCTCCACCCGCTGGGTTCAAGCAATTCTCCTGCCTCAGCCTCCCTAATAACTGGGATTACAGGCATGTGCTACCATGCCTGGTTAATTTTTGTAATTTCAGTAGAGAAGGGGTTTCACCATGTTGGCCAGGCTGGTCACGAACTCCTGACTTCAACTGATCCACTTGCCTCGCTCTCCCAAAGTGCTGGGATTACAGGCATGAGCCACTGCGCCCAGCTGCTCTCTTGATTTCTTTTTCAGCTAGTTCTTATTGGTGTATAGTAATGCTGCTAATTTTTGTATGTTGATTTTTGTTAGGTGAACATGATAATCACTACACTATAGAAACTCACTTTGTACACTGATTTTTGTATCCTGCAATTTTACTGAATGTTTATCAGTTGTTGTAAGAGTATTTTCATGGCATCTTTAGGTTTTTCTACATATATAACGTAATGTCGGCCTGGCACGGTGGCTCCTGCCTGTAATCCTACCATTCTGGGAGGCCCAGGTGGCCGGATCACAGGGGGTCAGGAGTTCCAGATCAGCCTGGCCAATATGGGAAATCCTCATCTCTAGTAAAAATACAAAAATTAGCTGGGTGTCATGACACATGCCTGTAGTCTCATCTACTCAGGAGTCTGAGGCACAAGAATTACTTGAACCCAGGAGGTGGTGGTTGCAGTGAGCTAAGATCGTGCCACTGTACTCCAGCCTGGGCAACAGAGACAGACTCTATTTAAAAAAAAGAAAAAAAGCATGTCATCTGCCAAGAGGGACCATTTAATTTCCTCTTTTCCAATTTTGCATGCTTTTTACTTATTTCTCTTGCCTAATTGCTCTTGCTAGGACTTCCAATACTATGTTGAATAAGAGTGGTGAAAATGGCTCTCCTTGTCTATTGCAGTTCTTAGAGGAAAGGCTTTAAGCTTTTCGCCATTAAGTATGATGTCAGCTGTGGGTTTCTCACATATGGCCTTTATTATATTGAGGTATGTTCCTTCTGTACTTAATTTGTTGAGAGTTTTTACCATGAAGGGATGCTGAATTTTATCAAATGCTTTTTCTTTGTCTATTAAGATGATCATATGATTTTTGTCCTTCATTCTGCTGATGTGATGTATTGATTTGCATATGTTGAACCATCCTTGCATCCCTGGGAGAAATCCCACTTGATCACACAGAACCAGACTTTTTACATCCATTGGTTATTTTTTTGACTAGTTTCCCTGGAGAGAAATCCCTTCCCACCTGGGGGAAGGTAAGTAATGGGCTGCTCGAATTTGAGCAAAGGGCTAGGAGATAGTCTCCTATTTGGTATAGGCTTTGTTCCCACCTTTCTAGTTTAATTTTTCCAAGTGTGGAAACACATAATTCTGGGTGCCCATCTGAGGTCCAGGTGGGGTGGGGAAGTGAAAAGGATGTGAAGGGCAGGGAGTTGTCTAACTGCTTCTTATACAGTTTTCCAAACAAGTATCGTGTTATCTTGTTTTTAGGCTCACAATTCATTCCCACCTTCAGAGGTACCTGGGCCTCTAATTTGTGTGTGCCTGTCTGGGGCACTGCAATTTGACTTAGCTTTGCTTCTTGTTGACCTCCTCCATCGACAGAGCTCACATTTATTTCAGTTTCCTCAGGTTAGCTTTCCAAGTTTTTGTAGATACCTTTCTCTCCTTTCTATGATCTTTTAAGACAAACAATGTATTCTACTGTAATAACATGTGGAAGCTTTTTTTGACGTGCAAAGTAAAAGCATTGTACACTAAAGCTTCAATATCTAAAATCCCACCTCCATTTAACACCTAATCAGCAGATTCCTAAAACAAATTCATCTTTACCTTGCATGACATCATCCATTGCAGCATAATCTGCAATTGGTTCATCAGCCTAGAAAACAAATGAAGACAATTCAAAACCACAAGGGAGTAGGAATCTGAAATCTGAAGTATGGCCCATGATTCAACTAGTGATATTGCTACAAGACACAAAAACACACTGTCCAGTAGAGAACTCAGTTTGAGCCACAGCCAGCGGTGTCCAGGTTTAACAGTGGATGCCCTGGTGGCTATGGGTCTAGAGTCAACACCTCAGAAATGGTACACTGTGTGTGTGAAGAGGAAAGGCAGAGGGGACTATTTTCCCACTCTTAAAGACACCTTTAGACATGGAAATGTTTAGACACCCTGGGGTTACTAAAGACTGATGTAACCAATGTGAGCTAAGATACTGGTAGTGGTAGTGAGGAGTACAAATAAAAAGTTAGACTGGTCCTCTCAGAATACCAATTAGGTTAAAATTATACTTTTGTCCCACATCACCAGCAAGAACAAGATACCCATTTCCTTTTCAGGAGGAAGCTTATGATGTCTGAGCTTATGACGAGGTTAGCTGCAAGGATAATGAGGCCAATGACCAGTACAGACTCTAGCTGCCCACGTGAAGTACAAACCGTTCAACAATACAGGCTGTTTCTAGGACGTTAGACAGGATCATTAGGATCTAGCAACTCAGTGTGTTTTCAAAACCATTTCACAGAGCCTATAGTTCCAGGAAATGCAGAATGTTAAACAGAGAGAGGGGTTAGGTGGTGGGATGAGGGGTGTGTGTGCGTGGATGGGGTAGATATCGGTCTGCCTCATCATTCCAGGGCCTAACTTTATCACACCAGAACTGGGGCTCCAAGGTTTGAAAAGCATACATTTCACAGTTCAAAATAAAAAACCTGAACAATGATTCTACCACATGATGTGGTGGTATTTGGAACAGTAGGGATTCTTTTGGCCAAGAAACAAAAGAGGCAATGGGAAGCGACTAAATCAGGCCCTTAGGGAGGGTAGAATTGGGCAAATGAGACTGGTTCAGTGACTTTTCTATTTCTTTCTTTTGAGACAGAGTCTCCTTCTGTTGCCCAGGCTGGAGTGCAGTGGCGTGATCTTGGCTCACTGCAACCTCCACCTCCCAAGTTCATGCCATTCTCCTGTCTCAGCCTCCTGAGTAGCTGGGATCACAGGTGCCCACCACCACTCCTGGCTAATTTTCTTGCATTTTTGGTACAGATGGGGTTTCACCATGCTGGCCAGGCTGGTCTCGAACTCCTGACCTCATGATCCGCCCGCTTCAACCTCCCAAAGTGTGGGGATTACAGGTGTGAGCCACCATGCCCAGTGAAAGTAGGGGCTTCTAAGACACTGTCAAAGAAAAATCACTGAGGCCGGGCGCAGTGGCTCACACCTGTAACCCCAGCACTTTGTGAGGCGAGGCGGGCAGATCACCTGAGGTCAGGAGTTCGAGACCAGCTTGGCCAACATGGTGAAACCCTGACTCTACTAAAAATACAAAAAATTGGCCGGGAGTGGTGGCACATGCCTGTAATCCCAGGTACTCGGGAGGCTAAGGCAAGATAACTGCTTAAACCTGGGAGGCGGAGCTTGCAGTGAGCTGAGATCGTGCCACTGCACTCCAGCCTGGGCGACACAGCGAGACTCCATCTCAAAAAAAAAGAAGTCCCTACTTTCTATATCTGTTAAATCCAAAACCAATTTCCATGCCCTGGACAGAATCCCATTAAGTTGTATATGTGACTGTTGTGACAGAACCTTGTGTTTTTACCCTTGTTTCCTAGCTTGGCTGGCTAGTACTTTTGAACCAAAAGGAAAAGAGGAGATACTTTAATACTATGAAGTAATTCTGCTGAACTGGAAGTTTGGGAAAAGCTTACGGAGGAGGCTGAATCTACTTTTAACTATGAAAAACTATGAAAATCTCAGCAGAGATATATTTTAAAGTATAAAATAAGTTACTATTTGCACTGGTCACAAGTCTATCTTCTACCCATCTTTTGCTTTTTTTTTGTGGGGGCAGCATTTCAAATTAAGTTGCAAACATCAGTATCATTAGTGTGGTTTTAAGAATAGATCCATCCAGTCCAAAAAAGGAAAAAAAAAAAAGCGGGGGTGGGGATTGGAGGGCATTGGGGAGGGGACACCCCAGAAACTTTGTGACCTGAGACCAGATTATTCAGCTTTCCTCTTTGGAATGACAGTCAATCCTCAAGTGTTCAGAGGGCCACAACCCAGTATCACTCCCTTCCTCCCAGTGTGAGAGGAATGAAAACTAGATCTGTATCTGAAGAAGAATGGGGGCCCTTGTGACAGAAAATCAAACGGGAAAAATGAGGCGTGAAGCTTAGCAGTTGGGCGGGTGGGATTTATACCACTGCCCTGCCTTACCAGGGAAAAGAGAAGTAATGATGTACCCTGATCCCACCAAGGCATAGAAACTGATCCAGGTGATCCAGGAAAGGCCAAGGAAAGCCTTCACTTTCACCTTCTCAGGGTACCAGTAGTTGCTGATGCTGTGGCATAACAGCACCTACTGTAACACACAAGAACAAGATATGATGATGTCCTGACCTCCTCTAAGTCTCTTGGGGCTCAGTCAGAGCTGGGCTGAGCTGCAAAAACTCACAGCATTCATTTACCACTGCCCTCTGCTAAAGACCCAACGCATCCTTTAACCACCATTTCACACAGTTTACACATAGTTATGTAACATGTAAAACCTTGAGTTCTTTAGCTAAGGAGCTGTTTACTTACCTTTAATAAAATGACAGATTCAGGAATGACGCCAAGGGTGCCTAGGGTGGCACAGTCATCACTTAAAATCTTTCCATCAATCGACAAATTCTGGTCAAAAGGAGCAACTGAAAATGCATGCATGATCTGTGCCAATATAAAAGAGACAAAGTCCGTATAATGCAAAACACTAAGACTTATACCCTATTTAAATAAATTACGTATGGATTCTTAAAAAAACAAAAAGGCTTCAGAGTACAAAACCACTGTTGCTTACAGTCAGCCTACTTGTTATATTCCTACTGAGGCTATCGTCCCTATATATCTGGGAACATCCTTAGGAGTTCTGGTAGAGTATTAGGAAACAATTACACACACAGATGCATTTGTTCCTTACCTTACCAGCTTCCCAAGGATGGAAGTGTGGGGAAATAAAATGAGTAAAAAGTGGTGCTGGGCTGATGGCTACTCTGAGGCTTGGGCAAGGTCATCACTGTCACCCCACCACTCCCAGGCCCCCATATCTTTTGATCAACAAGTCAAGTCCAAATTCTTTCTTCTTTCTTTTTTTTTTTTTTTTTTTTTTTTTTTTGGTGTGTGCTGAGACAGGGTCTCACTCTGTCACCCAGGCTGGAGTGCAGTGGCGCGATTATGGTTCATTGCAGCCTTGAACTCCCAGGCTCAAGGGATCCTCCCACCTAAGCCTTCTGAGTAGCTGAGACTACAGATGTGTGCCACCATGTCTGGCTGATTTTTAATTTTTTTTTGTAGACATGAGGTCTTGCTATGTTGAACAGGCTGGTCTTGAACTCTTAGACTCAAGCAATCCTCCCATCTCAGTCTCCTGAAGTACAGAGATTACAGGCATGAGCCACTGCACCTGGCCCAAAATTCTTTCTTAAAACCATCTTTAAATTCTCTCTTTTGTTCTTATTCCTTCAGCAAATGACTTGGGGTATATAATTCAGCCCCTGGAACTGTCACATATTCTTAGACTGAGTCTTGTCTCTAGGAAGCAAAATATGAATTTCTGAAGGGTAGGGACCATATGCCCCACACCAGTTCTGGCCAAGTGTTAAAAATTAAATATGGTGGGGTGCAGTGGCTCACGCCTGTAATCCCAACACTTTGGGAGGCCGAGGTGGATGGGTCACCTGAGGTCAGGAGTTTGAGACCAGCCTGACCAACATGGCGAAACCCCGTCTCTACTAAAAATACAAAATTAGTCAGATTACATGCCTGTAATCTCAGCTACTCGGGAGGCTGAGGTCGGAGAATTGCCTGAATCCAGGAGATGGAGGTTGTGGTGAGCCGAGATCATGCTATTGCACTCCAGCCTGTACATCAAGAGCGAAACTCCATCTCAAAAAAAAAAAAAAAAAAAAAGGTAAATACATTCCAGATGAGTGTGGTGGCTCATGCTTGTGATCCCAGCACTTTGGGAGGCTGAGGCAGGTGGATCACCTGAGGTCAGGAGTTCGAAACCATCCTGGCCAACATGGCAAAACCCTATCTCTACTAAAAATACAAAAATTAGCTGGGAGTAGTGCCACGCGCCTGTAATCCTAGCTACTTGGGAGGCTGAGGCAGAAGAATCACTTGAACCCAGAAAGCAGAGGTTGCAGTGAGCCGAGATTGCACCACTGCATTCCAGCCTGGGCGAAAGAGCAAGACACTGTCTCAAAAATACATACATACATACATACATTCCAAAATAATGGTATTCATAATATTTTAATGTTTTTACAAATTCAGAAAGGTTTTTTAAATTTTATCATTTCTGGGTCATGTTTACCTCTGGAGGGCAAGCAGAAGTTGGGCTCAGAGAGGCAAACACAAGTAACCTTCAATGACACCTTTAATTCTTAACTTGGTAGACAAGTCCAAGAATATTCATTTTAGTATGCTTTTTAACTTACCCATAAAATGTATGCTATTACATGTATCTTATATTACGCCAACATCCATGATGTCATGGGAAAACCATTCTGCCCTTTCCTGTACTCTATTCTTTGGATGTGGAAAGACAAAACGAGCCTCACAAATCAACCCTGAACTGCGTGTGTAACAGGGCCCAAGAGCTTGACAGGCTAGGGTGATGGGGACCAGAAAAGTGATTTTAATAATGGCACCAAAGGCAAATAAGAACAAAGATAACAGCACTGGCCTCCTCCCTAACTGCTGGGACAGAATCTTACCTGGATTTTTCAAAAGAACATTAGCACCCAAAAAGCAGGCAGGGAGAACTAACATTGTGGCTAGCAATGAAAAGTGCACTGGCATCATCAATGGTCTTCATGAAGCAATAAGCAGGAAGTACTGACAGGACAGTTCTACCCAAGCCAGCTCAGCATGCAAACATCAAGCAGAGGCATATCCAGTCCTACACCAGCAAATGTTCTGGAACCATGAAGATCGAGCGGAGCTATGGTGGATGTGTGCGATGCTAACTTAACATAGATAACGTCACAGCTGCTGGAGTGCAGAAATGCTTGTTCATGCCCCTAAATGCTAAGTGTTTTTGTACTACCCTATGAAACTGGACAAATAGCAAATACCTCTAGACACAAGTGCCACAACGGAGGGGCTGATGTTCACACATTATATTCTGAGAATGGACAAGGACACTGAGGTGCTGTCAACAACTAATGAAGCATTTATTAAGAAGCTACCGTGTGTCAAGTACTGTTCTAGGTGCTGATAATATAAAAGTGAATAATCCCGCCCTGGAGGGGTTCCCAGGAGTGAGGTCAAAACTAAGTTGTGAGGATGGTAGCAGAAGGTATGTGCAGGATCTAGCGAGCACAGGGGGACAGTCAGTTCCATGAAAGGGGCCAAGACAGGTTTCACAGATGAGTCACCATGAAAGATGAACACATGCTACTAGTGAGGAGAAGATGGAACAGGCCAACCAAGGCAGGGAGGCCTACGGTAATAATCCTTAAACTCTAAGTGCTAGGAAAATGCCTGAGTATAAAGAACATGATAGAGGTCTGCTTAACGAGTAGGTGCGGTATTCCTGGTCTGTGGAGCTAACAGGAACCATGAAAACCCTGTTGCTATCAGGGAGTGGCTCTCCTCTGCTTGTGATGGTGTGTGGGGCTGAAAAAAGAAAATACAGAAGCAATCGCCTCAGCTGCCAGGCATTTCACCTCTGTGCCAAAATATTCTACTTTCTCAGGCAGGCAATACCACCCACCCACTAAAGATCTATCTTTGGGAAAATGAAATAATACAATTAAACACTGAACATCTTTTGAGAAAGGAGATGAACAAATTGTACTTCATAGGATCAAAGGTGGATGAATTACTGATTAGACACAGCAAGCTTTGTAAGGTTTCAAGCAACTGTATATGGTAGATATGTCTAGAAACAAACATTTACAGATTTGCAATGGTTGTCATCCTATTAACTCAGAAATGCAGTATCCCCAGAGGAAAGGCTCCATCAAACACTAAAACACAAATTACATGCCTTAAGAAAATCACCCACCACCACCAGCTGCGGATCACGCACATGCCCACCACAAACTCTGATGCTATCCACGCTACCAGGCAAATAGGCTCATATCTAGTTGAAGCATCACAAGCTCCCACCACTATGTAGTGAGGGGAAAGACCTTTCACTGCCCTTTCTTTGACTCTGTTTGGCCCGCGGTAGTCCCTGAAGCAAGAGTGGGAGATGAGAGAGCCATTCAGGAAGAGCACCTCTGAGGGCTGTGTTTACAGCTGCCATCTTCTAGCAGCTCATTCGGGCAGGTAACATGCTCTCAGACGGAAGGGTTATTTCTGCTGACTTCTGGTTTATTCTTCAAAAATCGTAGTCCATAATAAAAGCAGCACAGGCTTTAAAAAATGTCTTTATGCACAGGGGCTCTTTCTGTAATTTAAAGGTTTTGAATGTTCGAGGTTTTCCAATGACAGGCAGAAAGTCAGTGATAGAAACAAGGTTTCTTAGATGTAAAAGGTACAATAACAGAGTGAAGATATTATGCCAACACACTTATTTTCAGAGCCATGGGTTCAACCAAGGGAAATACTGTTGTCAGGACAATCTGGAACACATAACACCCTCAAAGGAAGCCTGTACTTTTGCCTCAATTACAATGATAAATATCAGCAACAAGAAAAATGTGTAACCAGTAAACTATGCCACATAAAAGTAGCAAAGGAGGAAATTTGGTCAACTTTTTGGATATCTATCAGTGACTGAAACAGATTAGGGGCCAGATTTTTTCATGGACATCTTGAATTTATCAGTTCCTTCTGCCTAGGGTTTGAGATTTACCACTGGAATGCTTATTTATAGTATGTCAGTACTGATACCAAGAAATAACAGTATCATGAAACCATTTCATAATGCCTGCACTATAGCAGTGGAACTGATTTGTAAAGCAATGCATGCTTTGGTGGGGGAATGGAGAGGGCATATCTAAAATAAACCTATATAACAATTTGGAAAACATCACTGCATAAAGAAAGGTAAGGATAATTTTGAAACTCTATCAAGGCTGGACGTGGTGGCTCATGCCTGTAATCCCAGCACTTTGGGAGGCCAAGGCGGGTGGATAGCGAGGGTAAGGAATTCAAGACCAGTCTGGCCAAGATGGTGAAACCCTGTCTCTACTAAAAATACAAAAATTAGCCAGGTGTGGTGGCATGTGCCTGTAATGCCAGCTACTTGGGAGGCTGAGGCAGAGAAGTGCTTGAACCCGGGAGGTGGAGGTTGCAGTGAGCCGAGATGGCACCCCAACCTCGGTGACAGAGTGAGGCTCTGTCACACTCACACACACAGACACACAACAACTCTATCAAACAGATTTATCTGCCACCAAAAATACTGTGACAGCCTAGTGAATAAGCAATCACTAATCGCTAATAATAAGCTGCCTTTTATCTCCCATTAAATTTCACAGCAGTTCCTGGTAACAGGCTCCAATACCTATTAAGTGGTCAAAGAAAAGCACAGAGCACAATAAAGTGAGAGAACAGTTATCCTGGCACAACCTCGACATGTGACAAATTAAGTGGTTCCCAATGTTTCTCATTATTAGAAAGCTATTGCAGAACCAGCCCAAGTTTCCAGAACCCAAAATTCACTTTCATCTTCACAAAAAGATTTTTGGCTATTTTGAAAACTTTAAGTCTTTTGGGAAAAAACACAGATACATACATATATGTAAATACAGGTGGAAAGCAGGAATTCATGAAGGCCCTCTTAAGTCCAGAGCAAACTTGAACATTTTCCTCACCTGAATTTTCAGTTCTTTTAACGTCTGATTAGCAGAAACGAGAAGTGCTTTCTCACCACGAACTTTTCTATGTCGCATACTTCGGCGAATAACTTGCTTTTGATAGGCTATATAATTTTGATGGGATATCTTTTGCCGCTTTGTTCCACCATTGCTCTATAATGAAGATTGGAAATGAAGAAAGCACTGAAATTAACCACAATGTGACCCTTGCTCATGAAGTTTTCAGGCAAACAAAAGCTGTTTCCTTATTAGTCCCTTAACCATTTGAAATTCAATGTAAACAATGAGTAGTGACTAACAAGACTTTCTTAGCAGGCTCACATATAATTGATAAAAGAAAAGAATGAGTAATACACACCTCTAACTGCATGTAAGCAGTTTAAATGTTTGTTACAAGAGAAATTTAAAGTTTGGTGAGGGGGCTCACACCTATAATCCCAGGAGTTCAAGACCAGCCTAGGCAACATATTAAGACCCATCTCCACCAAAAATTAGCCAGGCATGGTGGCATGAGCCTGTAGTCCCAGCTACTTGGAGGGTAAGAAAGCAGGATCATCTGAGCCCAGTAGTTCCAGGCTGCAGTGAGCTACAACTGCACCACTGTACTCCAGTCTGGTGACAGAGATTCCATCTCTTTTATGAAAAAGAAAAAAGAGAAAGATGACATTTAAAATCAAAATGATTAAGTCTGACCTTACATCAGAAAAACATAACAAATTGAAAAACTTCAATGAACAACCTGAATTTTAAACATTTTCTTCTCTTCTTGAGAATGACATAGAAACTAAGTATAAACTGCCGTGAATTTAAAAATAAAATATAGAACCTTAATTTAAAAAAAAAAACAATTTGACTAAAAATAAGACTGTACCACTTTTTCTAATGGCAAAATATACAGCCTCACTCATAAAATATTCTTGCAAAATTGTTATACCAGAATGTAATCAAACATTTACGCCCACCTTTCAATTTATAGAAATTGGAATATAGGGGATATATAAATAAATTAAAATAAGTAACATAAAGAAACAGTCAGCCAAATACAGAACATGGAACAATCTAAAAGAAATCAAACTGGTCCAAGTTCAACGTCAAGAAGGGAAAGAGCCAGGCATGGTGGCTCATGCCTATAATGCCAGCACTCTGGGAGGCTGAGGCGGGCAGGATCAACCTGAGGTCGCGAGTTCGAGACCAGCCTAACATGGAGAAACCCCATCCTTACTAAAAATGTAAAATTAGCCGGGTGTGGTGGCTCATGCCTGTAATCCCAGCTACTAGGGAGGCTAAGGCAGGAGAATTGCTTGAACCCGGGAGGCGGAGGTTGCGGTGAGCTGAGATTGTGCCACTGCACTCCAGCCTGGGCAACAAAAGCAAAACTCCGTCTCAAAAAAAGAAGGGAGAGAAAGGGGGTCCGGAGGCAGAGTAACTGTTCCAAATTCTAAGTCTAAAGTGATACAAACAACACATATCCTGATTACATACTGGTTTGAGAGGAAAAAACCGTTCAAGACATATCTGAGTATGGGTATTAGAGGACATTAGGGAGTTTTCGTTAGTTTTCTTATTTATAAGCACATTATTAGTATTATGTAGACACTGTCTTTATTTTTAGAAGGGAAATGTCATCATGGCCATGACTACCTAAAGGTGCTATAAAAAGGATGCCCATGGGTATGCATGATATATGCGGTACTAGTCAAGAAAAAAATAATAGATGAGGACCAAATGTCCTCTACAGTACTCCTATAAATCCCTCATCAAGAGGTTAACGATCAAGATTCTTCTGCTTTTTGTACCAAAGGTGGTGGTGGTGGCGGCCGGTGGGGGGATGGGTGAGAGGCACAGGGGAGATTCTTCTGCCAACCAGGCCAGGGAATAAAAGCAGCAGGATTTTTAAGAAAATCTTTTCCTCTAGTTTAATTAAATCTGGATGAGGTAACCTCAAGGCCCTGGCTCTGGTTTCCACAGTTGTCAATGAGCGTCAGCTGTGCATAAGCAGAGCGGTTTAGTGGTCATTATGGACACAGATGCCACGTATTCATTACTCACGAGCTCCACAGTTTGCAAAGCAAAAGGTGATCAAGACCCAAACACAGAAGAGCATTTGTTCAGGGTGCCTACCACTGGCTAGACACTGCCCGAGGCTAGTTCAGCTCTAGCCCTGAAACTACATAGGCAATTGGGTGATTCTAAGATTCACGAGAAAAAGTTAAATGCACATATGGGTTAAAAAAAAATACAATGAAAGCTGATGAAACATTTTTCTCAATCTCAACTGTTGAAAGTAAAGATCAAATTGAACCAAAATTCTACAATCAGGAATATAAAGAAAAATAACTACATTAACATATAATTTTATTTTAGAAGTACAAAACAACCAAAAAACAAAACTCTGAGCATCAAGCAAGACAGATTTTTTTAATAACTCTGATTTTAAATGGGTCTAAAGGCTTTTCCTGGAATTATTTCTTTCTTAATCTGGAGAATTTAAATCCAACTTAACTGACAAAAAAACCAGCCCACTGGTTTTAGAAGGTTTTCAATTACCTAAGTGATACCCAATACCGAGTATTAACCTAAATTTAGATGAACCTAAATTTTTAGATGAAGTCAAAGGAGTTAGGTTTATCTAGCTTAGAGAAAAGAGGAAAGGGGATTTGTTTATCTCCACTAAGGACAAGCAGAAACACATCATTTTTTATTTCAGGGATTTAAAGCAGCAATTATAGAAGCTATCTATGCACTGAGATATGTGATGAAGAGGGTGACATTTTGAAAATGCTGAACATTTTTCAGGGACTATCTATTCTTTTCCAAAGAGGAAGGTTACACTTGAGATTTTTTGTGAGCCAAAAATTTTCTATGAGAAAGCAAAATATAAAATATTCTAGAGTATTACAACATCCAAACAAGGAAAAGGAAGACAGAAGAAAATTATGAAGTATAAAAAATAATTATAGTATAAAAAGCAATGTTCCCCAACATTCTCTATCATATTTATAAACGTGAAATCTGTTGTCGTCCACAACTAAGGAGAGTGATTCCACATCCACTTTGAAAAATTGCTGTGGTCATGACCACAATGAATAAAACTAGATAATCAAAAAAAGTTAGCTTTCTAAAATCTAAATCACTTGAAAATGTAGATGGTTTTTCTAAACAACTCTTAGGGTAAAAAGCAAAGCTTAAAATAACAGAAACTAAAGACAGTAAGAACATCATGTCAAGTTTAACAAATTAATTTACAAAGTTAACCAGAGAACAGAGAATTAGTGACAACAGGCAATAAAAAATTTGATTTCCCCATCCTGGCTAACACAGTGAAACCCCGTCTCTACTAAAAAAAAAAAAAAAAAAAAAAAAATTAGCTGGGCATGGTGGCGGGTGTCTGTAGTCCCAGTTACTGGGGAAGCTGAGGCAGAAGAATTGTGTGAACCTGGGAGGCGGAGCTTGCAGTGAGCCGAGATCACACCACTGTACTCCGGCCTGGACAACAGAGTGAGACTCAGTCTCAAACAAAAAAAAAAAAAAAAAGGTTCCCAACTGATTATTAAACCATAATACCAAGTGATAATAACTAAAACATACAGTACTGCCAGACAAAAGAGAATGCAGTCCTGAATCGGGATGGATATGTACACCCATACATACACATTTTTTTTTTAAGGCAGAGTCTTGCTCTGTCGCCCAAGCTGGAGTGCAGTGACGTGATCTTGGCTCACTGTAACCTCCACAATTCTCCTGCCCTGCCTCAGCCTCCTCAGTACCTGGGATAACAGGCCCGCGCCACCACACCAAATTTTTGTAATTTTAGTAGAGATGGGGTTTCACTATGTTGGCCAGGCTGGTGTCAAACTCTTGACCTCAAGTGATCCACCTGCCTCAGCCTCCCAAAGTGCTGGAATTACAGGCGAGAGCCACTGCGCCTGGCCATACACACACACTTTTAATGTATCAACTAAAAAGCACACAATTGAGTTTGTACAATATGTGGCTTGAAAGATGGCTTGTATAGACCACAGAGATATCCCCACCACAGAGACGGGGACATGAAAACAGAGTTGACAACAGGGTAATGGGCAGCAAAGTCATGTCTGCAAACGCTTGTGGAGGCATATTAGTACCGAGTCAACTAATACGTCTCAACAAGCATTTGCAGACATGACTTTGCTGCCCTTCTTTACCCTGTTTCTTATACCAAGGAACACAAGATGTATATATGCACACAGAGTTTAATAAGGGCATCACTTACTATAGAAAAATATCCCCTTTAAACTGAAAACCTGCATTCTCATCAAGTGTACAGATTTGGTTAGCACTGAAGCAAAGGACCCTCCAGTGTTGACTGACTGAAATACAGATTAGGAAGGACAACTTAAAAAGTGGCTGATCACTGTCACAAACTGCATGATTTTGCTTCTTCACAGGTGTTTTGAGGTTATTTTATGAGCTCCAATAAGCCATGGAAAACAAATGCTGACATCCCTTTATACCAGTTGGGAAACCACAAGTAACATTTATTTTGGGCACACCAAGATTCAAATCAAGAGGGCTTTTCAGACTCTCTCAATCAATGTTAAAAATGAAGTAACAGTATCAACGTGCAGACAGGACAACAAGCCCAGATACCTCTGCTCTGTCACAGATACGGCAGATGGCTATTTTAACACTTTCATTCTTTCAGGGAGAACGCTATCTATAATTTCACTACACTATTTTAGCAGTAAAGAAAGAAAACAAACATCTCATCTGTTAAAAATAAAACTCTAAGTAGAGTAGAATATCCATGAGTTTAAAGTACAAAATATCCTCCAATGTGGGGGTCTGACTTTTTGAGAAGCTGAAACTTATCTCCACCAACATCAACCATAGTCCCACGATTTCCTATTCTCAAAAGACAATTTACGGGCTGGGTGTGGTGGCTCACGCCTGTAATCCCAGCACTTTGCAAGGCCAAGGAAGGAGGATCATGAGGTCAGGAGTTCGAGACCAGCCTGGGTGAAACGCCGTCTCTATTAAAGATACAAAAAATTGGCCAGGCGTGGTAGCGCATGCCTGTAATCGCAGCTACTTGGAGGCTGAGGCAGGAGAATCACTTGAACCTGGGAGGCAGGGGTTGCAGTGAGCTGAGATCACACCACTGCACTCCAGCTGGGCAATAAGAGCAAAACTCTGTCTCAAAACAAAAACAAAAACAAAAACAAAAAACAAAAACAGAAGAAAATCCTAGCAAAACAGTCCAGAAAACTTATTTAAATGTATTTTTCTGAGACAGGGTCTCTCATTCTGTTGCCCAGGCTGGAGTACAGTGGCACAATCACAGCTCACTGCAGCCTGGAACTCCTAGGCCCAAACAATCCTCCCACCTCAGCCTCCTGAGTAGCTGGGACTACAAGCATGTGCCACCATGCCCAGCTAATTTTTTATTTCTTGTAGAGATGGGATCTTGCTCTATTGCCCAGACTGGCCTCAAACTCCTGGTCTCAAGTGATCCTCCTGCCTCAGCCTCCTGAAGGGCTGCAATCACAGGTGTGAGACACTGCATCCAGAAAACAGTCCATCTTAATGCAAGAATTTAAAGTGTGCTACAATGAAAAATGAAAGACTAACACATCAGCTGATCTGATCGCTTGATTAACATCTTAATTAGAGACTTCATATACTCCATTATTAAGGTTATTGTTTGTAATGAGAAAATCTGAGTTAAATAATTTTTTCATAAAGATTCTGATTGAACCGGAAACCAAGGTATGTGTCGTTTTAGTCTTCTTTCTCAGCTAAAAATTTAATCATCACATTACATTTTAGCCTTTCTTACTTAATAGCAAGAAATATATTCATTCTGGAATCATGTGGTTCATGGCTTTTCATGAGAAATCAGGACGGCTGTAGCATGCCACCAAAACTAAGGAAAGACAAGGATGGGAGCTAAGAACCAATATCCTGGCCAGGTGCAGTGGCTCATGCCTGTAATCTCAGCACTTTGGGAGGCTGAGGTGGGCGGATCATGAGGTTAGGAGTTTGAGACCAGGCTGACCAACACAGTGAAACCCTGTCTCTACTAAAAATACAAAAAATTAGCCCTGTGTGGTGGTGGGCGCCTATAATCCCAGCTACTCAGGAGGCTGGGGCAGGAGAATCATTTAAACCTGCGAGGCGGAGGTTGTGGTGAGCTGAGATCCGTGCCATTGCACTCCAGCACAGGCAACAGTGTGAGACTCTGTATCAAAAAAAAAAAAAAAAGGAAAGGAAAGAAAAGAACCAATAGCCCATATAGGGTACAGAGAGATGGCCAGGGGCTTCGAGTGGCTGCTCTCGAAGAGAAAACAGCAGAAAGTATAACAATGAAAAGCAGCTTCAACACGTACTTGATTAAAATCTGGATCTTTTTCTCCATCTGGTTTTGCTTCTTCCTTGTCCTCCTCTGTTTCAGAACTACTCACATTCAGCTCTGGAGCCGAATCCTTCATCACCTGAATGTGCCAGGACAACAAAGAGAAGTAGGTCAGACCCTAGGAAGGCAGGCTATGGAGGATGTAGGGGCTGGGACCGGCAACCTTTATCAAGAGGAGGAACACCTTTATCATGGTGGGATTATAGACTGGAAAGTGGATCAAGAATCAAGCCTTCTCGGTTTTCTATGCTCTTTTAACATGTTGGTTTTTTACCCTATGACTTATTCTTGTAGTATTTAATGTGCTCACCATACATTTAAGAGGTCTCTGCAGAGCAGTTATTACTATCAGTCTTGTACAATGATGTTATTTTGCAGAAGTTCGAAGGTGCTTGACACCTTCCCCAGCACACTGATTGTTCAAGCCTTTTCAAGTTCTCAAACTATTCAAGTGGCAGGAGTCACATGCTCTTTAAGAATTGAGAAAATGAAAGATGGAAGAAGCGTTCTCTTGCAGAACACTATGAAATACTCGTATTAAACTGAACAATGAAACTACAGCTAAATTGGATACTATTTTATACTAGAGAACTAGAGATTTAAGAAAATTCTACAGGGAGAAACAGAGACATTTATACTCATTAACTTCATTTTCTCAACAAATTAGGAAATGAAGGCCTTAGTTTATTTAACTTGTAAAGCAGAACCCTTGGCCTCCAGAGCATAATTTGTAAGTTACCCTTCTAAAAAATGTGTTTGGAAACAAGCATCAAATAAAACATATTCCGTTTTGTCTTTAATCCTAGAAACCGTGGAATTAAATAAATAAGATATCTAGAGATCTGGGTCAGGATCTACCCAAGAGCCATCCCTAATATAATAAAAATGCTTGGAAATCCAATCCAAGCAAGTATTAACACTTCCACTTCCCAAATATATCCAATCGATTTCACCTGTCCTTGCAGGTCAATGCAAGAGGCTCTAACTGGCCTCTCTTATTCCTGTAATGCCCTCACGGCAATTCCAAACACTATAGCCAGGGTGATTTTTTTAAAACTATAAATCAGATCATATCATGGCCTTGCTTGAAACTCTGCAGGGGCTTATAGCTACACTGGGAATAAACCCAATAAACCCGGTCTTGATGAAGGTATGATGTATAAAACCTGATAGTGTATGGTCGCTCATTCCATATCATGATCCCTTCTTGGAATACATTTCATTCTAGATCAGCCATAGCCACTAGGGTAGCCATTAGCCACATGCAGCTATTTAATTTTAAATCAACTACTAAATTCCTCAGTCACACTAGCCACGTCGAATGCTCCACAGCCACACGTGGCCAGTGACTACTGAAGTGCGCCGCACAGATACAGAACCTAGAACCTGTCCATCACCACAGAAAGCTCTATTAGACAGCACTGTTCTAGGTGCAATGGTTTTCACTCTGTTGCATAAGCACATTAGGCTTATCCTTTTGACCTTTGTTTCCTTTGCCTGGAAAACACTTCCCAGGCTGCATCCCTGACAGTGAGGGTTTGGGTAAAAACAACTTCTCCAAGATGCCTCTCCTGTCTACTCCCTGTCTCACGCTAACCTCCACTGTACCCTGCTAAATTTCCTTCAAAACAATCATTTCTGTGTGAAATCATATGAATTTATAGTTTATTCCTGATCTTTCTCACTAGGTCCCTAAAATTTTGAAAGCAGGTATTATACCTGCCTTCTTTATCACTGTATCCTCAGCACCGGGACCATTCCTGGAACACAGCTGACATTCAATAAATACCTATGTATCAATTAATAACAAACTAAATTCTCATACAATCACATAACTGTTCATTTTCAATTACTGTCCAATTTCAATTCTGATGCCAAACAGCTCTGAAGGAACAAAAATGCAGTCCTACGCAGACCCTCAGTGCAAATACAACAGCAAATCAAGTCAAAGAGCACGCTTGATCATTACTAGTCATCGCCACAAGAGGGACCAGTACCTTTTTATTATCCACAACTTTATGGACATAGATGGTGGCTTGAGTGTATTCACGCAGGTCCCTCTGCTGCTGACACAATAAGCCTTCTCTGCATTCTGGACAGAGTTCTTTGAAAAAAAAAAAAGGGAAAACAGAAACAGAAGTGGCTGAGGAATCATTGTTAAAGAATCAAAGATCTAAAAACATATATCAAAGTTACTAGTGAATATTCATTAAACTCTTAGTAACATTTTCTTGTTTTGAGACAAGGTTTTGCTGTGTCATCCAGGCTGGGGTACAGTGGTATGAACGTAGCTCACTATAGCCTCAAACTTCTGGGCTCAAGCCATGCTCCTGACTCAGACTCTCAGCAAGTAGCTCAGACTACAGACATGTGCTACATTTTTATTATTTTGTAGAGAGAAGGTCTTGCTATGTTGCTCAGGCTGATCTGAAACTCCTGGCCTTAAGCAATCCTTCCATCTTAGTCTCTCAAAGTATTAGGATTATAGGTGTGAGCTAGTGTGCTGGCCCAAACTCTTAATAATATTTTCTATTACATGCAAATGATAAGGAAATTCATTTACTGTCCATAAAGAAATGTACAAATAATGAGATGATTATAATGAGAGTTTCCACCTAGGGAGTTGGGACCGCCACACGATCTTTAAGCAGACAACGCTGACACACACCCATTCTTTTTAAAATGTCAGCTCTTAACTACAGAAACCAAAAGCAATATGAAAACTTACTAGGCTCAGAAATATACTGTGTTTCTGAAGGGTTTACATCTCCCACTTCAATTCTCATGATTTTAATTACATGATCCACAACAAAGAGCTTTTGTATCATTTGCCACTCACTGGGCCATATGAGAGCTATACTGTGCAAAAAAAACACAACATGCCTTAAGACACATGGAAATAAAGAGAATTAACATAATCCATTAGTCTGCTAAACCAAAACCATCAACACTAACATTTAATCCAAAGGAATTAGAGGGAAAAGATACATATCATCAACAAAGAATAGGTTTTTATACAAAGGAATGTTACCACAGCAGCGAAACTAAATGGACTGAAATTACATGAATCAACATGGTTAGATCTCAAAAACATAATTGAGTAAAATAAGTTAGTTGCAGAAGTATAAATACAGTATGATGCCATTTATATAAAAAGTTTTAAATATGCAAGACATTATGTGCATGTATTTTTTTTTTTTAACAGAATACTTTCTGAGACAGATAAACTCTGTAAATTCACGACAGTGGTTCCTGCGAGAGGAAGGGTGGGAGACAGAGAGAGAAGTAGCAACAGAAGGATAAGCACTGTGGGGCCTTTAATCATATTTGAACCATTTAACTTTTAAACTGACTGGTAACACACATTTGCTTATTGGTATATTTTCCTGAAGTCTGACATTTGCAGTAATAACAATGACAGGAAGAAAGGGAGGGAGGAAACAGAAGAGAGATGAAGAGCAAGAGAGAGAGTAACAGGGAAGGAGGGATGCAGAGAGGGAGGGAGAGAAAGAGGTAGGGAGAAAATGTAGAGAATATATAAACTTTCAAGTCCCTTCAATGATGTTAAAGTACTGAAATATGAATAATAAAACTCTAGCTTAACCCCAACAGCATTTTTATTTATGTGTTCCAATTTCCTTTTCCTGATTTTTCTGACAATGTTGGAAGCATTCTACCTTCTCGTATATAATGATTTTTGGTAAAATCAGGGGAGAAATTCACAGATGAACACCTCTGGAAGTACTTAAAGCATGGAATAAAATTTTGGTTCTAAGACCCTAGAATTCCAGATGACCAGTGCAGTGGCTTTGCTCTGCCACCCTGCTATCGTCCTCCTTTAATTGTCTGAAGCCTGGCAGTGGCACAACGAAACCTACAACCAAGACCATGTTGATTCTGTGATTCTGGAAAAGAGGTCACAGTGCTGGTCACCAGCAGCGGGGGGAGGAGAAAGGGTGGCTGTGTTGTCTCCAAGAGGGACAAGGAAGGAGCAAAAAGACAAATAACCTTGGCAGCCTCTTGTCTTTCCTGGAGAAGTAGTCTTTCTTTTCTTTTAAAAGGGGGGGGAACCCACAATTCAGCAAAGGACTAAATTCTTAAAATAGACTATGTCAGATGAGAAATTTCCTAAACACACTTTATTAATCATCAGAAAGAGAAAAGAAAAAAAATCACATAAAGAAAAGGAACTCACAGTTTAGAATCTTCTTTGGTCATGGAAGCAAATGTAAACATGAGGCCCCCATGGGGACACAAAAGAGCGCTGTTCCCAACTGATGACACAGGGCTGCATCTTGTCGGCTTTCTACTCAAATAAGACAAGGAGGAGAAATATACCTAATTACTGCATGACGAAAGAGAAGATTTTAAAATAATTATTTCAAAATCAGAGATATATTTAAGAAAATATTAGTAATTAAATGTGTTTCTTAGGCTTATTCATTTAACTTAATAGAAAAGAAAGCTTTCAGTGTGTGCTGGTGAAAGTAACCATGAAGGGTACAACAAACAGAATCCATGAAATCTTAAAAAATACCAGAGTCAAACCGAGTCATAATAACAATAAAGGAAATAAAACATATTTTGTTTCTACCTAACAAATTTCCGCCACTCTTCGACAAAGAACTGAGACACGATGTAGAGGACATCCGTATCCTAGAACACAAAAATCACAAAACAGTATCCATCAATTTACCACCTGCTTAACACAAATTCCTTATAATATACTTTGGTTGTCCTTATTCAAGTTTTATAAATAAAATGAAAACACAGTCCTCTACCAAAAAATAGCAGGCTGGAGTAAATCCCTTGGTTAGATAACTAAACAAATGAGAATATGAGAAGTTCTGGGTTGTTCTGAAATAGCTCACTGGGAACTTGGCAAGGGCCTTAAAAAGTAAAGATGCATTCTTTCCTTTGTGGGAATCATTATACCTCTGGCCAGTTACTGAGACACGGTCTGTTTTTATCCTGGAACAAATTTGGGAGAGAAGTCTTTTGCTCGTTTGCAATCATCTTATGTAAGGCTTCATTTTCTTCCCCTTCTCTTTCTAAAATCTGAAAGAGAATGAAGCAATCAACTGTCTCCTGCTGACAGCACATGACTTGCCTCCTCCCTACACCCCCGTCAGAAGTACAATGTTAATTTCCCTGGGAAGTCAACCCAGGAGGTGGCATGCCATTTCCCCAGATGTCAGTAGCATTCAGTACCTTGCACTGTGAACAGCACTCTTTGTAACTTGGAAACTCAGGAGCCTTTGGAAAGTACTGCTGCAGTTTGCTCCAAGCCTCTTTAGAAACAAGCCTTCTTTCATTTTCAGATATGCATAACTCACCTGAGTTTAAAAAAAAATTGAAGAAAAAAAAAAGCTGAAAAAAAGTCAATATCTATTTCCTATTTCTTAAACTTAAGAAAAATCCATAGGTGCACTTTTCTTGCTTCGCTAAAGTGTGGTATTTCTAGCTCTCTTTTCTTGTTTTCAAAAACTTCTGAATTTCCAATTTCATTTTAATTCTAAAGGAGGTAGCCATTAACCTCAATTTTATGTCTTTAATCTAGGTCCGTGGTTGAAAAAAAATCATGAGATAAAAACAAATGTACAAAGCTAAAACCGTGCATTTTCTTTCACCCTGCAAGGAAGGAAGTAGTCAAAAATGGGATTCCAGGAGTCCTGGGACCTCTGTGCCATGGCAGGGGCTGCTTAACAAAATCACATGTTCTCCCACACTCAAAGGTTATCATTTCCTGCAGACTTTATTGTCTCCCATTTGACTAATCCTGAAATCACACCGCATTAAAATAATATTTTGACAGCTGCGTCCAACCATCACAGGACCATTACCTTAAGTTATCAATTCAAACAAGATAAAGCAATCTACTGTTCAATCTGAAAACCATCTCCAGTCAAGCACCAACTTGTTTGCTATTTGCAATTTATTCTAAAGATCCCCTTCAATCTTCAAAAATCCCAGAAGACATTAAAAAAAAAAAAAAAATACTAGTCACTGCCACTCTGCCAGGACCTTTCTCCTCTGGCTCTACTTGTGGTTATATTTAGTATTGTTTCAGCTGTTTCAAAGCGGTAAGTTAGTGAACTTCACTTATCTATCCATATTGGTCATTACCCGGAAAACGATCTTTAAATTTCTAACGTCATATGTTTGTTTCCGCACCCATTGGCAAGGTACCTGTAGATTTATTAAGAGTAATAAAGCCAGGAACTTTCTAAATACATACTACATTTTTCCATAATAAATGAATTTAGAAAGATGAATATAACAGCTAGCAAGTAATAAAGCTGGGATACGAAACCAGGTCTATAGTCCAGGCACAGTGGCTTGCTCCTGTAATCCCAGCACTTTGGGAGGCCGAGGCAGATGGATCATTTGTCAGGAGTTTGAGATCAGCCTGGCCAACATGATGAAACCCTGCCCCTACTAAAAATACCAACATTAGCTGGGTATGGTGGTGCTCGCCTGTAGTCCCAGCTACTCCGGAGGCTGACGCAAGAGGACTGCTTGAGTCTGGGAGGCAGACATTGCAGTGGCCTGGGCAACACAGAGAGACTCCATCTCAAAAACACAAAACAAAACAAAACAAAACAAAAAAACAAAACCAGGTCTAAGGCCAGGTTTGGTGGTTCACACTTGTAATCCTAGCACTTTGGGAGGCCAAGGCGAGCGGATCACGAGATCAGGAGTTCGAGAGCAGCCTGGCCAACATGGCGAAACCCTGTCTCTACTCAAAATACAAAAATTAGCCGGGCGTGGTGGCAGGCACCTGTAATCCCAGCTACTCAGGAGGCTGAGGCAGAAGAATTGCTTGAATGAGGAAGGCGGAGGTTGCAGTGAGCCAAGATTGTGCCATTCCACTCCAGCCTGGGTGAGAAGCAAGACTCTGTCTCAAAAAACAAACAAACAAACCCAGGTCTATAGCTCATTCAAACCCCATAATATATTTTAAAATGTATTTTTTTTTATTTAATAGAAAATAGGCAGGGGGCAGTGGCTCACGCTTGTAATCCCAGCACTTTGGGAGGCTGAGGTGAGAGGATCACAAGGTCAGTAGTTAAAGACAGGCCTGACCAAAATGGTGAAACCCCATCTCTACTAAAAATACGAAAATAAATTGGCTGGGAGTGGTGGTGCACGCCTGTAATTGCAGCTACGTGGGAGGCTGAGGCGGGAGAAACGCTTGAACCCGGGAGGCAGAGGTTGCAGTGAGCTGGGATCACACCATTGCACTCTAGTCTGGGTGACAGAGCAAAACTCCGTCTCAAAAAAAAACAAAAAAAAAACGGGGTCTCATTCTGTCGCTCAGGATGGAGTACAGTGGCACGATCATAGCTCACTGGTGCCTCCACCTCCTGGGCTCAAGCAATCCTCCTGCCTTAGCCTCCTGAGTAGCTTGGATAACAGGCACGAGCCACCATGCCTGACTAATATTTTATTTTGTAGAGAGGGAGTCTCTCCAACTTCTGGTTTTAAACAACCCTCCTACCTCAGCCTCCAAAAATGCTGGATTATAAGCATAAGCCACTATGCCTGGTCCCTATAATGTATAATACCTCAAAATGCAACTTAACTTCTACCCCTCACCTCTTCTGGATCTCTGAATAATCCTCAAAAAATTATTTTGCTTTAATAAACTTGTTACCAGAGAAATGAGGTCACAAAGTAAACATGTATTTTCTTTCTGGGTGGGCTGTTAATTTAAATTTCCCGCAAGTCTATGAAAACTTACTCTAACATGCCCATCCTCAGACACAATTAGGGAATTTATTTTTTAAAAACGAAAGAAAAAGAGTAATTGGATTATCAAACCTTAACTTAGTAAGTCCTTATGGTGAAGTAAAATGTAACTATAAAAAAGATTAAGGTAGATTTCCATGACCTGATTTGGAAAGAACTCCATGGCAATTATAATATTTAAATGGTTTCTTTTTTATGCTTTTAAAAAAAAAAGAGATTCTTTGTGTAGTATAACTCCATGTGGTTATGAGGAAACAATAATGGGAATGTGCACACACACTTTACTATTAAATGAGCAGAGGAGACCACAGACACTGTGGATGCACGGCTTCATTCTGATGTCGGGGTACTTTTAGGTAGTGACTGGCTTTTATGTGGGATGAGTGTTTCTCATAAGATTAGGAAAGAACAACCGAAATTCATTTCTGAGATCAGAATAATAGTAAATAATCATTTTACTATAGTCTAGTTGGTAATAAATATATATAGTCCTTCACTCTACTTCTTAGCTGAGTTTCTAAATTTAATTTCCTATTATTCTAATAATTACTACCACAGTAGTTGCTAATATGTAATATTAACTATGAATATTAATACAATTAATGTAATTAATAATGAAATAAATATACTTGAATATTGTCTATGACCTCAAAATAGTTAAATAAATTTGGGTTGCTCTTTTCACTGTGACATATAAATTGTTAGAAATTAAACTTGTATCCTGCAATGAATCATGTTATTTCTTAAATTTTAAGAGAAAGCCAATCAACTAAATCCATTCTATGAGCAATATCTCCCAAAACAAGATCAAAGTAGTCAAGAGAGATTCAATTCACTAAACATAACTGGATATTCTAAAACTCAAAGATTCTTCTGGTAAAAAAAGAAATCTAGTTAACAATGAATTTAGAGATACTGGATAAATGACCCTCAACCCCTCACCCTAAATCTAGTTCAAACTGCACATAACACTTTGGGTTTCGGGACATCTCAAGAAGTACTCTCAAAACAACAAAACACAACACAGCCCATCATCTAAGCAAACTAGGTGTAATAAACAAGGTAAGCTATAGGAAAGTTATTCACTTAAAGGACTACAAAGTAAAATGGATAAGAAAACTTGATACATATAATATCTGTATTATAAAGCTTCTTATAAAATATCTGCAACAAATACTGAACTCTAGGATAGTAAATCTTCCAATGGAATATAATCCAATGATTAATTCACACAAAACCTATGATATATTAAATACATATAATACATTAGAAATATACAGGAATTTTGTTATAAAAATATCAAAATTTAAGTCAAGGACTTTCCAGGTTAAAATGTTTAAAACTGCATTTACTTTAAGTGCCTCATGAAACATCATTAAATCACAATAAAAAATAAAAAATAAAAAATAAACTTTTATTTTTAGAGATGGGATCTCACTCTATCACCCAGGCTGGAGTTCAGTGGTGTGATCATAGCTCACTGTAACCACGATCTAATGGGCTCAAGCAATGCTCCTGCCTCCATTTCCTGGGTATCTAGGACGACAGCCACGTGCCACTTTGCCTGGCTAATTTTTACTTTATTTCTTAATAGAGATGTGGTCTCACTACATTGCCCAGGCTGCTCTCAAATGCCTCAGCCTCTTAAAGTGCTGCGATTATAGATGTGAACCACCACACCAAAGGATTTATATATATATATATAAAAAGACACATAGCTATAAAGATGAAAACAACAGAGGGAACAACAGGGATAAAAATTATAAGGGTTTAAAAGAAGGTGAATGAGACACAATAAAAATTAACTCTAAGTTGGCAAAAGTCAAGAAGTAGCCAGATTTGCTACACTGCAGTACTGTCCCCACAGACGCAAGAACTGGGGGTTCACGAAGTAAAGGTAGGGATTTACAAAAAATGAGAGAAGGGATGGAAAGTCTACTTAAGAGGTCCCCTTCTCGGCCCTTGAGATCACTGTCCCCTCTAGCCACCAAAGACTACATGCTTATTTTCGGACAACAAAACCTAACATTCACAAGGGACACAAAACACAGAGACAAATGAAGCGACAGGCTGAGACAGGGAGAATTAAACCTTTCCACTCTTAAATGCGGGGACTCCTAAGTCCTCTTCTTTCTACAGCTTCTGAAAAGTGACAGCAGGTCTGAATTTTCTAGGCAGGCGAATGAAAGATACTTATGAAAAAACCTTGGTGGCCCAATAGCAGACAGCGCCATTGGGAATTTCCCAGTGAAACAAGCCGGCTGGGGCACCAAACTAGTGAAGTTCAGTCACCAAGCCCCTCCAAGACACACCTGGCTTCCACAGAGTGCCTAGCATAATAAATGAACCCGTACAACACTGGGGACAAAGATCTTACAAGCCTACCAGAAACTGAAGTGGAGAAAACTTACCTACAAACAATGGCTTTGGACTTCTGAATCGTACGTTCAAACCACTATCACAAGTCTCTTTAATTTTCACGGAAAAAATATTTCCAACAGACAGTTAAATACCTAGGCAAAACTATCCATTGCAGTGTGGTGATCCTAGACAGGTGACTCTTGCCTCTCTGTGCCTCAGTTTACTTACTCATCAGTAGAATGGATGCGATAATATACTGATAACACAGGGTTGTTAGATTAAGTGAGTTGGCCGGGCATGGTGGCTGACGCCTGTAATCCCAGCACTCTGGGAGGCCAAGACAGGCAGATCAACTGAGGTCAGGAGTTCAAGACCAGTCTGGCCAACATGGCAAAACCCCATCTCTACTAAAAACCAAAAATTAACTGGGAGTGGTGGCACATGCCTATAGTTCCATGTACTCAGGAAGCTGAGGCAGGAGAATCATTTGAACCCGGAAGGTGGAGGTTGCAGTGAGCCGAGATCGCACCACTGCATTCCAACCTGGGCGACACAGTGAGACTCCATCTCAAAAAAAAAAACAAAAACAAAAACAGATTAAGTGAGTTAATATTTATAAATGTGGAAAACTACAGGCAAATGGTAAATATTCAATAATTGCCCACTATAATCTCCTCCTACCAACATCAGCAGCACACCTCCTGAAAGAGGTTTTAACAGAAACTTAATGAGTAAAGTGGATTTCTAAGTAAGGCTAGGTATCCTATACCAGAAAAATTTTACCCTGGACACATGGTACACTGACAGATAACATAACACAAAAACAAAGGTAGAAAACTATCCTTTTTTTTTTTGAGACAGGGTCTCATTCTGTTGCCCAGACTGGAGTGCAATGGCGCCATCTTGGCTCACTGCAACCTCTGCCTCCTGGGTTCAAGCGATTCTCCTGGGTCAGCCTTCCAAGTAGTTGGGATTACCGGCACCCGCCATGATTTTTTGTATTTTTGCCCAAAATAATTACAAATTTTGTAAATTTGCCCAGCTAATTTTTGTATTTTTGTAGAGATGGGGTTTCACCATGTTGGCCAGGCTGGTCTCAAACTCCTGATCTCAAGTGATCCGCCCGCCTCAGCCTCCCAAAGTGCTGGGATTACAGGCATGAGCCACCACGCCTGGCCAAACTATCCTTTAAAATATTAGAGAACAAAGTATGGCACCAAAACACTAGAGTTACAGATCAAGATAACGGCCTAAAAAAATCACCCTTGTATACAATTTCTTCCTCCCTCCCTCCCTCCTTCCTTCCCTCCCTTCCTTTCTTTCTCTTTCTCACTCTCTTGTTTTTGTTTTGTTTTGAGACAAGGTCTTGCTTGGTCGCCCAGGCTGGAGTACAGTGGCACGTGAATATGGCTCACTGCAGCCTCAACCTCCTGGGCTCAGGTGATCCTCTCAATGTAGCCTCTCATGTAGCTGGGAACACAGGTGCACACCATCACCAGCCCTGGCTAATTTCTTGATGTTTCTGTAGAGATGGGGTCTTGCCATGATGCCCAGGATAGTCTCGAACTCTTGGACTCAAGTGATCCTCCTGCCTTGGCTTCCCAAAGTGCTGGGATTACAGGTGTGAGCCACCACTGCCAGCCTCTTATGTACAATTTCTGATAGGCTAGGGAGTGGAGTATGTGTCCTGAAATGACATTCAGCTTTGCCATGCTTTGTAGTCAAAACTGTCAGTACTGAAATGATATGATAAAAGGTCGGAAGGCAGAGCAAAGGTCAGTGAGCTAAGGAGCACAAGGACAATCTAAGTTCCAGCACTGTTTCAAGTGGTAGCACCAAGCATGAAACAATACTCTGCCACAGATGCTTCAACTCTCAATATGGAGACACCAATCCCATGTCCACAACTATGCTGTGAAGGTTAGAAAAGGTGATAAGAGAGCATCACTGGAAAAATACACCTCCTTCTGGCTATTCACCCGAACTTCCTTCCCCTGTTTATTTCCTCGTGCTATTCAGCACTCATGAGGTCAGCTCATCTTCTTCTGCTGTGCACCTGTAGTGTAAAAGGCCAACCAGTAGACAGATAGGGTGATACGCTGGAAGGAACAGAGGAATTTGGGACTCACAGAGACCAAGACCCAAACATGCACCCCAGGATGGCTGCTTGCTAGTTGTGTGGCCTGTAAATGGGAATGCCACTCACCTAGTGGCCTAAAGTGCAGTGAGATAATCCAGAATGCTAGTACCACTCTAGTGACAAACACCATCACTAGTGTCATCAACGGCACTTCATATAAAAGTGCCAGTGTGCATCAGGGATAAGAGTGAGACATTATCCACTGGTTCACAGTGAACTGATGAAACAAGAACTATAGTTAGGAATTTATTAGGATCAACAGGAATCCAAAATATTAGCAATAAATTAGCACATAACAAGAAACGCATGAATATGAGTTAACAAAATGAACCACTGAAAAGCCAACTTTTCTGTGTCAAATTTATTGTCCTATTTATTTTATTTTAATGAGATGGGGTAACGCACTGTCGTCCAGGCTGGAGTGCAGCATCGTGATCATAGCTCGCTCTAGCCTCAGACTCCTGGGTCAAGTGATCCTCTCACCCTCCTGAGAAACTGGGACTGCAGGCACACACCACCAAACCCACTTAATATTTTTTTAGAGACAGGGTCTTGCTGTGTTGCCTGGACTGGTCTCAAAATCCTGGGCTCAAGCAATCCTCCTACCTGATCCTTCCTAGTAGCTGGGATTATAGGTGCAAGCTACGGCACTCAGTGCTCAGACTTTTTGAAGGTGGGAAGGGGAACTTACGAAGTAGAAAGCTTTGAGAAACAGACACCTGCTTGACTTTCAGAGTGCTATTAGAATAGAAAATTGTGTCTAATATATGATGAATCCCTTGCACGATCATCTTGTAAAAGCTACTTATCAGAAGTAAGCATTCACCAAGACCAAGTAAACAAATACATAAGATTAAATAAGGATTTAGAATTTGGCTTTTTAAAAAACTATCTAGCACATAGTACACAGCAGCTGGTCAATACACAAAGAAAAAACTAAACCAAGTCGAGACCAGTGGCTCATGCCTATAATCTCACCACTATGGGAGGCAGAGGTGGGAAGCAAATTTAAAAATTAGCTGGGTGTGATGGTGCATGCCTACGGTCCCAGCTACTCAGGAGGCCAAGGCAGGAGGATCACTTGAACCCAGGATGTTGATGCTGCACTAAGCCAGGACAGTGATAGAGAGAGACCTTGTTGCACAGATAAAATAAATAAATAAAAAACCACAGATAGCCCTAACAAGATGAAGAAGAAGAAACATATGAGCACTATTCTCAAAGTGTTTAACTTGGACAATGACAGTCATGGGAAACAACTGAAATTCAATACTTCAAATTCAAAAGCACTTCAATGGGACAAGTGACAAGAAGTTTCTTTTCCAATGATTTCCTCTAAATATGGGGAAATTCTACTTAAAAAAAAATTTTTTTCCCAGGTAAGATGTGAGAGACACTGGCATGAAAGCCAGGCAGTAGAAGCTAAAAGTAAAAAAGGATAATAAAACAGAACTCATTTATGCTTCTAGCTTACCATGTGGACACAGAATATCTTCATTAAAATTTAATTCCTCCTCTTCTTTTCTTTCTTCCTTTGATTCATCTAATCAAAAGAAATACAAATGATATCTGCTGTAGTTATTGTGTACTTAAAGTTCAAAGTAGCAGATATACTACTTTGCACAATTTGGAACAAAGAAAACTTTAACACTCTGAAAATTAGACCCATGTGATTCCTACACAGTTCTGCTAAAAAGTGTTATATTTCTTTCCCTTAAAAGGAAAGAGGAACATCTCAATGACAGTTAACTTTTAAAGATTTAGGTTATGCAAGAAAATGTGCCTTTTTAAATTGAAAAAATGGAATTCTTCTATTAATTCTAGTCAAGGTATTGAGAATACTGTGTCATGAACCAAGTTAATCACCTACATTGTCATGTCATGGCATGTCATTTTCACCTACCTACACTTTTTGGGGGTGAACACAAAGCATTAAAGACAAATGAAATAAGGACTTAACCTTTATCATCAAACATAGTCGTCCCCACTGATCAGTCCAGGGATATGTTCCAAGACCCTCAATAGAGGCCTAAAACCTCATACACTACCGAACTCCATAAACATCCATTGGCATATTTCTGTTCAAGTCTTCCACCCACAAATTTAATGCTTTTTCCATCTTAACTCACACTGTGACCATAACTTGTAGCTTGTAGTGTGACAGCAAAACTAGCATGAATTTTTTTCCTTCTTAATTTCACAGATAGATTTGTTCCTATAGATCTTAGCAAGCTCACCATACAATTTTTTTTCTTTCCTTATTTAAATCAAGAACTTACTTCTACCTTTCCACTTAAAGGAAGCACTTTGTGGCTTCTTTTTGACATACCTGAATTACCAACATTACTACTCTTCCACTTTGAGATCATTAAAGTAAAATAAGGGTGACTTGAACACTGGCGCTCCTACAGTCAATCTGAGCACCAAGAGGATTGCTAGGTGACCCGTGGGTAGCATGTATAGCATGGATAAGTTGGACACAGGGAAAACTCACGTCGCAGGCCAACCAACCAACCAACCAAAAAAATCCCCCACAAAAATCAAGTAAAAAAATGGGCAAAGGAAGGATATGACCAGATAATTCTGTCTCCTCTTTTTCTCTCTGTCACACATACAAATAACTTCTCAAGCCTAAGAAGATGGTCAACCTCAGTGACATTTTGAAAAACGTTACGCCTCAACACTGGTAAGTCTAACTTCCTGTATCGGCCTGATAAAAATTGATGTGACTGTCCGACACGGTGGCTCTTGCCTGTAATCCCAGCACTTTGGAAGGCTGAGGCGGGCAGATTAAGGTCAGGAGTTCAAGACCAGCCTGGTCAACATGGCAAAATCCCCTGTCTGCTAAAAATACAAAAACTAGCCCAGCGTGCTGGTGCGTGCCTGTAATCCCAGCTACTCCGGAGGCTGAGGCAAGAGAATCACTTGAGCCTGGGAGGTGGAGGTCAGAGTGAGCCAAGATTGCACCACTGCACTCCAGACTGGGTGACAGACGGAGACTCCGTCTCAAAAAAACAAAACAAGAAAAAACAAAACTGATGTGAATGATGTATTCTTTATGTTGACAAAAGCAAGCAAAATGAACCCCCTAATATGACTATATTGAAGAAAATTTACCAATATGTCAGTATGTGGCAATTACAAATATTTGTAATTCTCTGATCCAGAGATTTCTAGGAATTTATTTCTCAGAAATAATCTGAAAATTTTGTAATGATGTAAGTACAGGACACAAAAGGACCCTCACTGCATCTGTGTGTACATACTCATGTAAAAAATTAAAATAGAATCAGATAAACATAATGGATCCACAAAACAAAATGCAATCAATCAATAAAAAGGGCTGAATGTTTTGACATTAAGTCATATGTACAACTGTGCCCAAATGAGCTGCATTATAAAAAGCCACTATTTACAGTGATTGTATCTAGTAGGAAGGCTTTGAAGTTCTACTTTGTCACATTTGTGCTGCTTGAAGCTTTTGAAATTTTTTAATGGGGAAGGAAAATAGAGGCATATTACTCTGAAAGCAACATGAAAAATACTTTTAAGCTATGCCAACATGAAGGCACTTTCTATTACGGCATCCAATTTTATTAAAAATGAAGGAACACTGATATATAAAGAGGCTTTTTTTTTTTTTTGGAGACCGAGTGATGCCCTGTCACCCAGGCTGGAGTGCAGTGGCGCGATCTCGGTTCACTGCAACCTCCTCCTCCTGGGTTCAAATGATTCTCCTGCCTCAGCCTCCTGAGTAGCTGGGAGTACAGGCGCATGCCAACACACCTGGCTGATTTTTGTATTTTTAGTAGAGACAGGGTTTCACCATGTTGGTCAGGCTGGTCTCGAACTCATCACCTCGTGATCCGACCACCTCGGCCTCCCAAAATAAAGAGGTTTTAAAAAGCAGTAAATACTTAACACTAAGTCACATGTTATCACTAAAATTATAGTATGTTTTTTCAAATGACAGGATAATAAAACTCAAATTGATGTTAAGTTCATGAATTATACAGCACAATAAAATATTTTAAACAAAAGTAAAAACTCGGCTGGGTGCAGTGGCTCACAAATGTAATCCTAGCACTTTGGGAGGCCAAGGTGGGCGGATCACTTGAGCTCAGGAATTCAAGACCAGCTGGCCAACATGGTAAAACCCCATCTCTACTAAAATACAAAAATTAGCTGGGCATGGTGGCGCATGTGTAATGCCAGCTAGTCAGGAGGCTGAGGTGGGAAAGTCACTTGAACAGGGGGTGGTGGGGAATGTTGGCAGAGGTTGCAGTGAGCCAAGATCACGCTACTGCACTCTAGCGTAGGGGACAGAGTGAGATTCCGTCTCAAAAAAGTAAAAACAAAAAGTCTCAAAAAAAGTAAAAACTCTTCAATTTTGAAAATATTAATCACAGCTCAAGGAGTTTAAAACTAATACTGGGTTAGTTTTCTCAAAAAGTAAGGTGGTGAGATGGGAAGATCAATACCAAATAAAATAAATATAATATAAAGTGATAGAAATGGGCCAGCCTCAGTGGTTCACGTCTATAATCCCTGCACTTTGGGAAGCCAAGGTGGGAGGATCGCTTGAGCACAGGAGGGAGACCAGCCTGGGCAACATAGTGAAGCCGTATCTCTAGAATTCAAAAGAAATAAAAACTGGTCAGGTGCGATGGCTAATGCCTGTAATCCCAACACTTTGGGAGGCTGAGGCGGGTGGATTACTGGAGGTCAGAAGTTCAAGACCAGCCTGGCCAACATAGTGAAACTCTGTCTCTTCTAAAAATACAAAATTAGCTGGGCATGGTGGTGTGCACCTGTAATCCCAGCTACTCGGGAGGCTGAGGCAGGAGAGCTGCTTGCACCCGGGAGGCAGAGGTTGCAGGGAGCCAAGATCGCGTCACTGCACTCCAGCCTGGACAAAAAGAGTGAAACTCTATCTCAAATAAACAAATAAATTAAATTAAAACTTAAAAAATAAAATAATGATATAAATGATATGAAATGCTTGAATGCAGAAAATACAGAATATTTCAATAAAGGTTAAGAACATTAAAGTAATAAATTTCCTTGACATCTTATGAAGCACTGATTATAAAATTAAATTTAGTATTTGATTTACAATAACATAATTTCTGATTTGAAAGCATATGAAACTCAGAAGAATTTACAAGCAGAAAGCTATTTAAAAGCTGCCCTCTCTACTTGATGAAAGATTAAGAAGTACAAGCTCATTTACTTGACAAAGGCAGTGTGGCAGATAATCTAAAACCAAAATGTACTGAGCATACAATATATTATGCCAATTTGCAGTAGACTTAACCTTTCTTTAAACTCTTAGCCTAGAACAGAATTAATATTAATTTTGCATGTGATTAACTAGAGAGAGCTTGAGCCCAAAGCATGATAGGTTATACAGGAAAATTTCACATGTGAGTCCTTGCTGAATTTCAATAGCTTAAAAATCTTTTATTTGCTCTGAGCTACTTGTGAGAGTTTGCAGTATTTTATTTATTTTATTTTATTTTATTTTTATTTTATTTTATTTTTTTGAGACGGAGTCTCGCTCTGTCGCCCAGGCTGGAGTGCAGTGGCGCGATCTCGGCTCACTGCAACCTCCGCCTCCCAGGTTCATGCCATTCTCCTGCCTCAGCCTTCCAAGTAGCTGGGACTACAGGCGCCCGCCACCTCACCTGACTAATTTTTGTATTTTTAGTAGAGACGGGGTTTCACTGTGTCAGCCAGGATGGTCTCGATCTCCTGACTTCGTGATCCACCCATCTCGGCCTCCCAAAGTGCTGGGACTACAGGCGTGAGCCACTGTGTCCAGTCAAGAGCTTGTAGTTTAATAAAAGTTGTCTTTAAAATTACATGGATGGGTATGAAACCAATTTTACGAATTTTTGGGTTTTGTTGTTGTTGTTGTTTAAGAGACAGAGTCTCGCTCTGTCACCCAGGCTGGAGTGTAGTGGCGCAATCTCGAGTCATGGTAACCTGCAACTCCTGGGTTCAATCGATTCTACTATTTCAACCTCTTGATTAGCTGGTACCACAGGTGTGCAGCACCACCCCTGGCTAATTATTTTTGTATTTTTAGTAGAGACGGGGTTTCACCACGTTGTTCAGGCTGGTCTTAAACTCCTGACCTCAAGTGATCAACCTGCCTCGGCCTCCCAAAGTGCTGGGATTACAGGCATGAACCACCGCACCTGGCCTAAAATTGTTTTTTAGAGAAACAGGGTCTCACTCTGTTACCCAGACTGGAGTGCAGTGGGGCTGGCATAATCGCTGGGCTCAAGTGATCTGCCCATCTGAGCCTCCCAAATAGCTGGGACTACAGGATTGAGCCACCGTGCCCAGCCCACTTATATTTTCATAGTATAATTTCACATATAGGTTTAAATTGTTACCTTTATTTAAGGTGCTACCATTCATCTTTCCGTTGCTTTGTTCTGCATCACCATCTTGCTCATCTAGCTGTTCAAGAGCTAGCTGGCGCCAACTCCGCAAGGAGGACTTCCCCACCCAAAATCCATCATTGCTGTGGAACAGAGAGAATGTTAAATCATACAAGTAATATTTCCAAACACTGTCCTCCCTTCTTTGCCTGTAAAAACAACTAAAGTGAATTATAAACACTCAACATCAGCTACTGTACATGTAATTGTTTTTAACCTACTTCCTAATTTTGGTCATTTTCTCTGTCCACTATTGAACTGCAGGGATCTAATATTTTGTTTCCATTCTAAATATTATCCTGCTTTTCCTACCTTCATGCCAATCACACCAATCAAATGGTAGGATGGAATACAGTGGCAAAGGCTATCTGACTCAGCAGCTTTCTTTATCATTGCCACAGGGGCAGTCGTTGCAAAATTTACTTTTGATCTGGCTCTGCCATTCACTTTATCACCCTTCTTCTAAACATCCCAACTTCCTATTTTCAACAAATAACGAGCTGCTTGGTTATGACCTCTTGAAAATTTCTTAGTTTATCATAAACAATGTACGCTGTGCAACATACCCCTTTACTGCTGCTTTCAGCAGATTATTAACAGTTTTATAATCTTCATTTAGTTGGTTCTTCAGACGCAATACGCGACAACGTTCTACTACACATTCCTTACACAGGGCTTTCACTACAGGCAAGAAAGAATGAAAGGAAATATATTTCATTCAAACAGACTTCCTGTTAGGAAAATGTTTTTAGCACTTCACAAACAGACACATTCTAAACCAATGTCACAAATGTTGGCAATGTGGCAAACTGATATATACCCTAAATTATTTTACTAAGACAATTAGATATCAAGAGAGCAATACTGTTATCTGAATAAAGAAAGAAAAATGAAAGAGAAAATGTTATGTTAAAAGTATCTAAATACAGTATCTGACAAGCCTTACATGTAATTTTTATAAGATGATAATCAAATAACTGAGGTTCTAAGGTGGAGGGGTTAAATATAGCTGATAATTATAAATAATGATCTTCACGTGAAAGTGATCTTCAAAGCACACTAAAAGGAAAAGCAAAATGAAGGGTCTGGTTTAAAACACAAAGAAGTTTTAGGAATCATCTAAAATGTGAACGCTTTTCCCACTGCATGGTTTACTCATTGTGAATTAAGAACAGTGGCAGGTGTAGTGGCTCATACCACCAAGAGCTCTGGGAAGCCAGGCAGGGAGGACAGCTTGAGGACAGGAGTTTGAGACCAGCCTGGGCAACACAGTGAGACCCTGTTGCTACAAAAAATGTAAAAATTAGCAAGGCATGGTGGTGTGTGCCTATAGTCCTAGCTACTTGGGAAGCTGAGGTGGGAGGACTGCTTAAGCCTACAAGTTCAAGGCTGCAGTGCACTATGATTCCACCACTGTACTCCAGCTGGGGTAGCAGAATAAGATTCTGTCTCAGGAAAAAAAAAAAAAATAGGGGCCAGATATGGTGGCCCATTCTTGTAATCCCAGCACTTTGGGAGGCCGAGGCAGGTCGATCACTTGAGCCCAGGAGTTTGAGACCAGTCTGGGCAGTATGATGAAACACCATCGCTACAAAAAATACAAAACTTAACCAGGCATGGTGGTGCATGTCTGTGGTCCCAGCTACTTGCAAGACTGAGATGGGAGCCTGAGGAGGTCAAAGCTGCAGTGAGCTGTGATTGCACCACTGTACTCTGGCCTGGGCAACAGAGTGAGACACTGTCTCAAAAAAACAAAAACAAAAAATTCCCAGAAATTTAGGAAACAAAACTCCAGTGGTGTTTAACAGAAGGCCTGCAGCATGTAGTTAAATATCTGGTTTATGCAGTAAGTTGTATACCATTAGAAAACAGCACTTCATTTCAGAAAAAGTATATTGGGGAGGGAGGTGTCATGTAATTTCCTACAGTCTCATGTGAAAATTGGAGGGGGGATTATGTTGGTAGCTACTCATGTAAAAAGAAAAATGTTTCAAGGAGGCAGAACAGAAAGGCAGCCAGAACAAAATAAAACCATGGATACAATGTGGTCATATATAGCTCTATACTGAAGGTAGAATCAAGCAGCTTCCATTCATAAAGTAAGTAACCATCTACAGCTCAGACACTGGTAGAAGTCACCACAGGCGGGTATGGTGACTCCTGCCTGTAATCCCAGAACTTTGGGAGGGCAAGATGAGTGGATCACTTGAGCCCAGAAGTTTGAGACCAGCCTGGCCAACACATTGAAACTCCGTCTCTATTAAAAATACAAAAATTAGCTGGGTGTGGTGGTGTGTGCTTGTAATCCCAGCTATTCGGGAGGCTCTAGAATCACTTGAACCCAGGAGGCGGAGGTTGCAGCGAGCTGAGATTGAGCCACTGCACTCCAGCTTGAGTAACAGAGCAAGACTCCATCTCAAAAAAAAAAAAAAAAGAAGAAGTCACCACAACATGGAGGCACAAACTTGTAATTAACCAGACAAGGCCTCAAGTACCAGACAGTTTTCTCAAAAGGGTCTTATTTTGTCTGCTTTGAGGGGGGTTAAAAAAAACAAAACAAAAAACGAACCAAAAAATCCCAACCAACCCTCTATGAATAGCATCAGTTGCTTCACTTCTACTTTATTTAGCAAATCCTTTTTGCAAAATGTAAGGAATATTTGGTCTAGCATAGTTTGGGTCAAATCATCATAAGCCACACTCACAAAGACCGTAAGATGAAGATTTAATGAGCTGCTCTTTTTTAAACAGAGAGGACATCTTGAATTACCAGTTAGTCTTGGACCTCCTCCATATCTACTATAGAAAATGTCAGCTGCATATTCAGATATCCTCTTCATAATTGATATTTTATCCGGGTGAAGCTTGTCATGGGAACACAGGCAAGCGTGATTATCAATAGGTTTGGTAGGTGTTGATTCATCCAACCACTTTTGCAGCCATTCCAGAGAGACAAACTCATAGGGCTCTGAGAAAGCAAGCATCGGAAAGAGCCTATGTATTTTTACAGTTTTTGGACTAAGTGATACATTCATTTTTTTCAAAAGACAATGCAAACTCTGTCCAGAGTTAGCAGAATCAGAAGAATCATTGTCTGGGGGAAGATGTGTGATGAGTACGACACAAAGCTCCAGTTAAGTGCCACTCCTCTGAGTTCAAGGAGCTCTGCACCGTAATGCTGAGTCTGCACAGTGCCCTATGAGATCGGCTGGTATTATTAACCACGTTCTACAAGAGGCATCCACATAGAGTCTTGCCTAACAGCACAGCAGAGTTTTGATCAAGACACCCATGTTTGTTGACTACAAGTCATGCTCCATTGCTGCCTCACAAATAACACAACCTCATGCCCTACTATGTTTATTTCATAAATTATTTTTGTCATTACTTTTCACATATATGTGATATACATCTGAAAATTAAAATGAGATGCCAAACTGAACTCTAAGTTAGAAATTAACCTCACCAACTATGACCACACTTCAGAAGACCCTTTTAACCACTGAACTTTCTTTATCCAAGATGACACTGATGGCAATTTTGAAAAGGTATTTAATTCCCCCACCCAAATCCAAGTCATCATCTATTCATTATATTATTATTTATTTCAAGAAACTAACCTATTTTAAACAAGCTCCAGGATAAAGTACAGTAGAACTGAGTCATCATCAATTTTGAAGTTGCAAAAATTAAAAGACAAAACCAAACACCTCAAAATGAGTTTTAATTTGGGGAAAGGAAGTCCCTAGAATTCCCTAAAAGCCAAAATCAAAGATAAAGGGCCAGCTTTGATTACTTACAAAGATCTCCAGTGAGTCCCAGCATAAAACATAGAAGAAAACATACAGAGGTTGAATTTATATTTTTGTATTATATACTCCTTCTGATGAGATCTGAGGGACAGATACTTCAACGAAGCCCATTGTGACCAGTTTTATACTCCCCAGAGAGTTACATGTCTAGAAAACTAACTCCCATTTTAATTTTACAGCAAACCATTTCAATTTTTATGAAAACAAAATTTGGCACTGTACATCATCGACTAAGAGTCTTCTGACTGGTCAAATCGAAAGTGACTTCAGAGGAAAAGCACAGGACTATGAGTCGAGGTCACGGTCTAATCCAAGTTCTGCCACCAAGAAAATGAACCTGAGCAAGTCACTTAAACTCTCTATGTTTCCGGTCTTTTATTTGTAAAATGAAGGTAATAATACCTGCCTTCTACCTACCTCGTGGGGATGTTGTTGAGTATAAAAGATAAGCTATGTGAAGCATTTTGAGCTTTTTGGAAGAAAAGAGATATGGAAAAGTTAATGATACATTTACATAACCTTATTATATAAAAGAGGTCACCTTGGCTGGGCGAGGTGGCTCGCACCTGTAATCCTAACACTTCGGAAGGCTGAGGTGGGCGGATCACCTGAGGTCTGGAGTTCGAGACCAGCCTGACCAGCAGGGAGAAGCCTTGTTTCTACTAAAAATACAAAAAATTAGCCGGGCATGGTGGCGCATGACTGTAATTCCAGCTACTCGGGAGGCTGAGACAGGAGAATCACTTGAACCCGGGAGGCAGAGGTTGTGGGGAGCTGAGATTGCACCATTGCACTCCAGCCTGGGCAACGAAAGTAAAACTCCATCTCAAAAAAAAAAAAAAAAGGAGACCTTAAGACGCAGTATATGTAACACAGCTGCAGCACTTTACAGTATATCATGGTAAGGCTAATTGCATTCAAAATGCCTCCCGACTTTATTTGCCATTTATCAAGCTTAATCTGCCAGGGATAGAATACGCTGGGTATCTGGCGAATGCAAAGATAAATGATCCCTTTCCGAGAGCAAAATAAAGGCCTTAGCATACTCTAATCTTTTCCCAAGGACAGTCAATTAGATTAAAATGGTAAGTAATACAAAGGCTATCAGAGGAGAAAAAACAGGATTGTGATAAAGAGCAACATTCAAGAATAAGTCACTAGGCATTCTAGTCTCCCCAGCAGCTGGGGAGGAGCGGACAGACAGCAGTATCTGTTATTGCCAACTGAAGAAAACACCCTAAGAATCCTGGCCCTCACAATGAAAGGAATCTAGGAAAGCTCAAAATGCACAAAGCCCTCCTTGCCAGGGTATGTCTGCAGGAATTCAAAGCCTAGGGTGACTGTGGCCTGACTGTCCAGCAACAACGTGGCTCAAAGGAAAGACAACATTTTCCAATCTCACAGAAAACTTCCAAGGAAAGCTTGTTGTTTTGGTTTCTGAATCGTTCAATATAAATTTAATGAAAGATATAATAATTAGAAAAACGATGTATGGTTTTATAGTAAGAGGAGGAAGACAGAAAGCAGAGAACAGGCCTATAATTCTAATCTAATACCATGCTTATTACTAACTGAGCAAGTTTTCCAGATTTCACTTTGGTGCGCTGTGGGCTCCATGAGGGAAGAGTGACTATGGTCACAGAAGTCTGTCTTTCTTTCCATTCTCAGTCTCTATCATCATAAAGAGTTTGCACTGACCTCTGCCAAGAGCTTGCCTTAGAATACAAGTGGAGCACAAGTCTCATGGTTAAGGCAGGTTCTGCTGGTGGCAAAGTTGTTACACTACAGATGTTTCTGCACTAGAAAAAGACTCTGAGTGGGCCCCTCAAATATATTCCCTAGTATTTGTGATTCAGTAAACTACAAGGCTTGCTTTCCAAAGGCCATGGATATAATCAACTCCAAATGAGGGAGAACTCTCCCATTATCAAGCTGGAGATACCAGACCGTATGAAACCTCAGCATTTGATGAGGAAAGCAAAATATTAAAATATTTACCACAGGGAAATATACATTTTGGTTTAAAGTTCCTAAAAAAAAAAAAAAGTCAACAAAAAACAAACAAACAAAAAAAAAACACCTGGATTTTGAACATGACACATTTTCTTAGGAAAGTTATATGGTCTAGAACAATTACAGCATTAAAAACATCTGAAACACTTTACCTACAGATAAATTTAAGTATATTTCAATGGAAATAAAAAGGGCCAAAAGCATGTTCCTACTGAGGCTTAAATTTTAGGGTAAGTGATCTTTCTTTAAATATGTTCGCACACAAAAATAAGATTTAGAAAATGCATAACGAAAGATTTCTCTTGCCAGCACAAAACCACGCTCATTAACTTTGAGATTCTACATAATTTTACAATGTGGACTTTCTACAATGTAAGTTTACTGCAAATGGAAAATAATTATATAGCTCATAATTGGTAAAAGTATAAATAACACAGAGAAATATTCTAAGAACATAAGCATATTCTAAGAACATAAGGTGCCTGTACGCTGAATGAAAACAGCCAAAGAAAGCACAGTGCTAACTTGACACATAACATCTTTGAACTCCATAGTTCTAAAGAGTGGTTCAAATGAGTATTTCGCTTTAGACCCAGTTAAGTCCCTTTCTCTTGTTCAGTGGACATAGGAAACCATGAATAAAGTTTGGAAAATAGATTTCTAGGTCCCGACACCTTTGAACAAAGACTTATAAATTTAGAGATTTGAATCATGGGTTCATTCCCAAATCATTTCCAGTTAAATTAAGGTCAGTTTAATTCTTTAGGATAATCCCAACCCTTGGACAGAGTTGAAGTAACAGATTACAAAGAAGGGTCAGAATCAAATTAAAATTCAGTTAAAATCTATTCTTATAGACTTAGCAATTTTTGTTTACATTTTGTTTAAAGTTATACTAGTAATGGAAAATTAAGATATTAAAAAGACAAACCACAAGTACAATTATGCTTAAGTATTTATTTTCTAAAGTAAGGACTAAATTGTCTCTCTTCCTTAAGTAGGAATTAGGCTTGGGAAATTCATGTCTTTGAAATGACAAAGATAACTTAATACAAATGGCACATCAGCCTTTAAAAAGGCTTAATTTGGTTTCATTTTGAGACACCAGGTAAACCTGAATAAACATATACAGAAAAGGGATAAGCTGGATTATGTAGGATATTTCTAAGAAATCAGGGGTCAGCAGAAAGCTTTTCTCCTCTTAGCATAATATTTGGTATTAAACTTCAAGTTAATCTAATAGTATCAAAAAAAACTACTCATATAATAGAATGTCTGTTAAAACTGTCAGGTCACAAAGTATGCAAAGAAACAGAACAGGCAAGTTGCTTTTTCCATAGTAATCCAATCGGATTTTTCTTAAACAAGTTAATATCTCACAAAATATAAATATCTACAATACTCATGGATGCAAAGTGCTGACCTAAATGTTATAATTTATTAACAGCTTCCCATTTTTAGAAGTACAACGTAATGAAATAATATGGAATGCTACACATCAAGTTATTGTCGGTTTACAAAGTACTTTTAGAGTGTTTAAGCTGGCTTAGGGGGTTATTAGAAAGAGTAAGTTTGAGAAAGTTTCTTCATATACATTTGTGAACATAAAAAAACAAGGCACTTAATGGCAACAGTGCTGTCCCAGAATATCTTACAGACCAGCTCCAGCAGGTAACCTTTGGTACAGCTCCTTAACCTCTTCGTGTTTTGCTTTTCCTTTATCCACACTTTGCTTACGCATCTCAGCCATTTCAATACACCACTCCTCAAATTTGGAATTATCCCGATCTACCAGCTCTTGAAGAAAGGCTATTCAAAACAGAAAGTCAAAAAACAACTTTATCCTTGTTTTCAAATATAGTGAACCATGCTAATCTCTAAATCATATCAAATACTGATTAAAACATTGTCAGAAATTCCAACTATGGTCTCCCTGTCTGCTAGAAACCTTCAATCTGAAGGTAGAAGTAAAACTGAAGACAGACACTGGAATAATATTAAGTTGATTCCCCCTGCTTAGCTCTCCATGACATCATCAGCCTCCCAGAACTGAATGGCTCAAAATCACCACTTTAGAAAGATGATGCCAGGCCGGGCGCAGTGGCTCATGCCTGTAATCCCAGCACTTTGGAAGGCCGAGGCGGGTAGATCATGAGGTCAGAAGTTCAAGACCAGCCTGGCCAAGATGGTGAAACCCCGTCTCTACTAAAACTACAAAAATTAGCTGGGCGTTGTGGCATGCACCTGTAATCCCAGCTACTCAGAGGCTGAGGCACAGAACTGCTTAAACCTGGGAGGCAGAGGTTGTAGTGAGCCAAGACTGCACCACTGCACTCCAGTCCGGGCGGCAGAGTGAGACTGTCTCAAAAAAATATAAATAAATAAAAAACAATAGATGACGCCACCAAACTTAGACAAGTGCTGAGTAAAATGACTAAGACTGTCTTCAGGGCAGCAGCAACTCTACCTTTTATATTATGAAGTCTAGGAAATCTACAGATAAATGAATAAAATTCACAAATACTCTATAAACTGAACAAACTAAAACCAAATTATACTTTAAATACATGTTTTGATTACTTTCTGATTTTTTAATAATTGCATTGCTTTATTTCAAAAGCTCATTTTTTAAAAGTAAATTTGCAATTGATATTTACTTTCACCAACATTCAGCTTATGGAATCAATTCATCATAATAACTAAAAGCAATCCACTAGTTATCATTAATCTTTGAGTATGGCATTCTAAAACATTTGCCTGATATAATCCTGGAAAACTGCTTTACCTGGAACTTGAACAGTAGTGTTGGGCTTTTCTTGAGTTTGCAGTCTATAAACCAACATATATGCATTTCGAGAGCAGTGAGTTCCTTTGCCACACTTGGGTTTACGTGTCTGAGACTTAGAAGGTTCTGCTGAGATAGAGAAATCAAAAGGTACCTTAAGTGCCTAGAGTTTGTTTATTCTTTAGCAGGGCTATAGAAAACAATTTCCAAAACATACACCCAAGAGACATTAACACCAATCTAAAACATTCGAATGCCATAGAAATTTGGCAGGCTCTTTAGCTTCTAATATTTAAAAAAGTTTACTACCGCTATTGCCAACCACATTACATTTTTAAAAGGTAAAAAGAAAATACGTTTTTCTGGGGAACAAACCTGAACAACAACAAAAAAAATCACTATTGCCATAAGCTGATTTTTATGTTAGTCTTAAATTACAAAAATTAACTGAAGCCAGGCACAGTGGCTCATGCTTGTAATCATAGCACTCTAGGAGGCCAAGATGGGCGGATCACTTGAAGCCAGAAGTTCAAGACCAGCCTGGCCAACATGGAGAAACCCTGTCTCTACAAATAATACAAAAAGTAGGCGGGCGTGGTGGTGCGCACCTGCAGTCCACCTACTTGAGAGGCTGACGCAAGTGAATTGATTGAACACAGGAGGCAGAGGTTGCAGTGAGCCAAGATCACACCACTGCACTTCAGCCTGAGTGACAGAGCGAGACTCCGTCTCAGGAAAAAGAAAAAGTTAAATTAAATTAAATTAAATTAAAGTAAAAAATCAAAATAGGCCAGGCTCGGTGGCTCACACCTGGCCAACATGGTAAAAACCGTCTCTCTAAAAACACTGCACCCAGCTAATTTTTGCATTTTTAGTAGAGACAGGGTTTCACTATGTTGGCCAGTGTGGTCTCGATCTACTGATCTCACGACCTGCCAGCCTCAGCCTCCCAAAGTGCTGAGATTACAGGCGTGAGCCACTGCACCTGGCCGAAATATTTTTATTCTTAATGATTGCTTGGTACACAAGTATTTGTTTTAATGTTGTGTGTGTGTGTGTTTTTTGTTTTTTGGTTTTTTTTTGAGATGGAGTCTCATTCTGTCGCCCAGGCTAAAGTCCAGTGCCTCAATCTCGGCTCACTGCAAGATCCGCCTCTCAGGTTCACGCCATTCTCCTGCCTCAGCCTCCCGAGTAGCTGGGACTACAGGCAACTGCCATCACGCCCGGCTAATTTTTTGTATTTCTAGTAGAGACAGGGTTTCACTGTGTTAGCCAGGATGGTCTCAATCATCTGACCTCATGATCTGTCCACCTCGGCCTAATGTTGTTTTTTAATAAAAGCAAATATAAAATGTATATGTACAGTTTGAAAAATAAAAATTAGCTCAGTAATCATTTTAGTAAACAGATTTTCTTCAATTTAGTCAAAATAATATAAATAAATCTAGACCTAATTTAATTGCCCAAAGAAATAAAATAGCATATTTTCTTTTCTTGAGACAGAATTTCACTCGTCTCCCAGGCTGGAGTGGAATGGCACAATCTCGGTGCACTGCAACCTCTGCCTCCCAGTTCAAGTGATTCTCCTGCCTCAGCCTCCCCAGTAGCTAGGATTACAGGCATGTGTCACCACGCCCAGCTAATTTTTGCATTTTTAGTAGAGACGAGAATTTACCATGTTGGCCAGGCTAGTCTCAAACTCCTGACCTCAGGTGATCCTTCCTCCTCGGCTTCCCAAAGTGCTGGGATTACAGGCATGAGCTACCCCACCCAGCCTAAAATAGCATCATTTTAAAAAATGAAATGAAATGGGCCAGGTGCGGTGGCTCACGCCTGTAATCCCAGCACTCTGGGAGGCTGGGGCAGGTGGATTACCAGAGGTCAGGAGTTCGAGGCCAGCCTGGCCAACATGGTAAAAGCCCATATCTACTAAAACTATAAAAATTAGCCTGGGATCTGTAATCCCAGCTACTCAGGAGGCTGAGGCAGCAGAATCACTTGAATCCAGGAGGCAGAGGTTGCAGTGAGCCAAGATCACACCACTGCACTGCAGCCTGGGTGACAGAGTAAGACTCAGTCTCAAAAAAGAAAAAACAAAAGGAATGAAATGCTAACAACCAGAAACATCAGCCACTAATCTCTATAAAATAAACAGCAAGTGGAAAACATGAAGTGTTTCAGATGGCAACTACAGCACATGAAAACGATTTTCAAATTGGGTTTCAGTGTTCCAGGTAACTTTCTGAGAGGTAAGAGGTTATGGCGGCAGATCATTTGAGATCAGGAATTCGAAACCAGCCTGGTCAATGTGGTGAAACCCCGTCTCTACTAAAAATACAAATAATTAGCCAGGCATGGTGATGTGCACCTATAATCCTAGCTACTTGGGAGGCTGAGGCAGGAGAACTGCTTGAACCCAGGAGGCAGAGGTTGGGGTGGGCCAAGACAGCACCACTGCACTCCAGCCTGGGCGACAGAGTGAGACTCCGTCTCAAAAAGAACAAAAAAGGTTAGGGCAGTTCTAGGGAAATCCAGTTACCAGATCCTCAATTCACCATGTGCTTTTCTAAAATGGATCTGCCTCAACACTGAGGTCCCATGACGGTTTCTACCTTTCTTTTCACAATCATTTGACTCCCATGTCACAAAAGAAAGATATAACCTCTCAGCCAGTGACAGAAAAAGGACTCATCTATCACATTAAGATACAAAAAAAAATACATTTACAGAAAAGTTTTACTGTTTAATAAAATTTATAACATACTTTTATGAGTTTTATCAATTATGTAGTAACAGTCATAATTTTAAAAACAGCACTCTATCCAGAAGTACTTTTTAAGTAGAGCTTTATAGTCACAAAAAACTTACTATATTCCATTAGAATAAAATTCTGTAGGGTAAATGTAATGGAAATAGTAGTACAGAAGAAAACTGAATTGTTAAAAATGCCTACTATAAAATAAGACCTGTTCAGTTATCCTTGAAAAGGATGTTGGTGGACATAAAATCTCTACGGTATTTAATGTCATCTGGACATTAATAAAAGAGTGATGTTACAATTTAAGTTTTGGTGTTTATTATGTCATAAATTACAGCATTTGGAGCTACTTAAAATCTATGATGAAATTTGTTAGATTTTAAAATGTGCAAAGAAAAAAAAAGTTGTTCAATTTTTTTTTTGTTTTCCCTTGCACCCATGCTTGGATGTTCAACAGTCTTACAGACAACATGTGAACAAAAAAGGTTGGAAGATCACCGTACTGTCACAGGGAATTAAAATACCAGTAACATGTACAGGTAAGAGGAGATTAGTCATCCATTCCTAATTAAGAGTAACAGGCTGGGCGCGGTGGCTCACGCCTGTAATCCTAGCACTTTGGGAGGCCAAGGCAGGCGGATCCCTTGAGGTCAGGAGTTTGAAACCAGTCTGGCCAACACGGTGAAACCCTGTCTCTACTAAAAATACAAAAAATTGATCAGGTGTGGTGGCATGCGCCTGTAATACTAGGTACTCAGGAGGCTGAAGCAAGAGAATCGTTTGAACCCGGGGGGTGGAGATTGCAGTAAGCTGAGATCGTGCCATTGCACTCCAACCTGGCTGACAGAGGGAGACTACATCTCAAAAAAAAAGAGTACCCAAGATTTAAGATGTTCATGATTAAGATAGAATATAAAATGATTCATAAAACTTCAGGATACAACATAACAATGAATGTCTAATGAAATTTAAAAATATTTTCTATTTTTGATTTAAAAGATGAAAGCTAAAATATATGCTGCATAAAATAATGAGTTATGAAAACACTGGAAGGAGATGCCAACGGGTGTTTAGTGTTTTCTTGAACTGTTTCAAAATTTAGGACTACCCATATTTAAGACAGCCTTAACAATGCTTTTAATCCTAGAATGTAGACAGATTTTTTTTAAAAAAAAAAAAACAAAAAACAATAAAAAACAGTCAAAACCAAGACATAACTTTTCACAATTTAAAGTTCTTTTTTTTTTTTTTCTTCCAGACAAGGTCTCACTCTGTGGCCCAGGCTGCAGTGCAGTGGTGCAATCATGGCTCACTGAAGCCTTGATCTCCTGGGCTCAAGCATCCTCCTATCTCAGCCTCTTAAAAATGCTAGGATTACAGGTATAAGCCACCTCGCTCAACCCAATTAACGTGCTATCTCAATTCTGTTCCTAGTAGGAATGTCATAATGAAAACACATACTGTATAAGCAAATGTTTAGAATTTGAGTTTTACTTAGGTAAAATGGGAGTGAGATTGCTGAAATTCTGTAAATACAGAAATATTATTTAAAAGTAGAAAACAGGTTGGGCATGGAAGCTCATGCCTGTAATGCCAACACTTTTGGGAGGCCAAGTGGGAGGATTGTCTGAGGGCAGGAATTCAAAAGCAACCTGGGCAACCCGGGGAGACCCTGTCTCTATTAAAAAAAAAATCACAAAATTAGCCAGGTGTGGTGGATCACACCTGTGGTCTCAGTTACTTGGGAAGCTGAGGCAGGAGGATTATTTGAGCCCAGGAGTTCCAGGCTCCAGTGAGCCATATTCATGCCGCAGTACTCCAGCCTGGGCAACAAAGCAAGACTCTGTCTCAAAAAATATATATAAATAAAAGTAAAGAAAATAAAATTTAAAAGTGAAACAATGACTTCTCCAAGTTACATGAATGGAGTTAACAATCTATTATCTGTAGAGATGATGCATATGTCTCGAAAGCAAATCTCAACTGCTACGCTCCTGCCTACTGGACACCTTGAATAAATGTCTCTGACCCACTAAGAAAAAACAGTGGCAGGAGACACACACACACTTACTCCCATTTCTTTTCTCTGATTCAGATACCATAGTCTGAACCTCATCCAAAGCTGTTTAGCACTTTCTTGTGAAATGATGACCACAGTTGTGAGTCTGCATGTGTCATCTCACTATGCTGTGTGTTGGATTTCCAGAACAAAGCCTGCGCCCTTGGACAATTGCCTATACCTGTCTGACAGACAATGGGAAGAAAGTGATAAACAGCTCAGGAGACGGCTCCAGGTAGAAAAACTGTCCATTCCTTTGGAAAATAAATGGGTACTTAGGCCCAAGACAACTGAGGTGATGAAAGTATATACTAGGATACTATTTCAAAAAGTACTCTTTATGGCAGACCTCACCACTATTTCAAGAAGTACTCTTTATGGGAGACCTCACCACTACACAGTAGCAACCAGCTCATTCTCCACAGAAACACTGCACAAGGATTTGGGTAAGATACTTAAAGGAAGGAAAAACAAAGTTTACCTGCTACAGTTAGTTCCCCAAAATAAATTTCCTGACCCAAGGAAAACAACTACTAATCCTACTACATTAAATCTACTATTCATCATCATTAACTTAATACCTATGATCCTCCCCTACCCACTTAAATAAGCCTGGTAATTAAAAACTGATCATTTGCCTTCAAGCTTTACTGAAAACATGACACTATGAAAACCATCTCTGGAACAAAATAATTGTAAACTTTTTTAACTAAAATTTTAAAAAGCAAGCATTGCTGGCTGGGCGTGGTGGCTCATGCCTTATAATCCCAACACTTTGGGAGGCCAAGGCGGGAGGATTGTTAAACTCAGGAGTTCGAGACTAGCCTGGGCAACCAGGTGAGACCCCGTCTCTACAAAAAAATTGTTTTAAACATTTTTTCCAGGTTGGCCGGGCATGGTGGTTCACGCCTGTAATCCCAGCCCTTTGGGAGTTCAAGGTGGGCAGATCACTGGAGGCCAGGAACTCAAGAGACCAGCCTGGCCAACACAGTGAAGCCCCATCTCTACTAAAAATAGAAAAAATTAAGGCCAGGTGCAGTGGCTTATGCCTGGAATCCCAGCACCTTAGGGGGCTGAGGCAGGTGGGTCACCTGAGGTCAGGAGTTCAAGACCAGCCTGACCAACATGGGGAAACCGTGTCCCTACTAAAAATACAAAATTAGCCAGGCATGGTGACACATGCCTGTAATCCCAGCTACTCGGGAGGCTGAGGCAGGAGAATCTCTTGAACTCGAAAGGTAGAGGTTACAGTGAGCCGAGATCTTCCCATTGTACTCCAGCCTGGACAAGAAGGCAGCAAGAGTGACCAAAAAAAAAAAGGAAAGAAAAGGAAAAGGAAAAAGAATTAGCTGAGCATTGTGGCACATGCCTGTAATCCCAGCTACTCAGGGGGCTGAGTCATGAGAACTGCTCGAACCCAGGAGGCAGAGGTTGCAGTGAGCCGAGATGGTGTTACTGCACTCCAGCCTTAATGACAGACTAAGACTCTGTCACACAAAAAAACAAAATTTTGCCAGGTATAGTGGCACAAATCTGCAGGCCCAGCTACTACGAAGGCTGAGGTGGGAAGATCACTTGAGCCTAGGAGGTTTAGGCTGCAGTCAACCGTGATTCCAGACTGTATTCCAACACTGTATTCCAACACTGTATTCCAGCCTGGGCAACAGAGTAAGACACGGACTCGAAAAGAACACAAAACCGAAAAACAAGCATTGCTAATACAAGATGTTCAGTGATTTTACATGTGTTTAAGAAATGCAAATATACTTGAGAGTCTGTAACATAATAATCTTGAGCCACAATAATTTATCACAAATATTTCTACTAAATAAATTTATATTTTAAAAGGGCACTCACAACTTAAAGGTTTTACCTAGATCTTCCTCAATCCCTAGTTGCAATTTCTTCCCCTCCATCTTTTCTATGTCTTCATCATTAAACTTATACCATTCACCAGACTGTGGATCTTTCACATGGGCAATGTAGTGGCCAGAATAAGCACTCACTCCTCTGTGTATGAGGACTGCACTGAGTTCATACACATAGGACCCACCTGGAGAGAAAGGGAGAAAGTAAAAGAAACATTGGATAACAGTATTTCTTATATCCTGAGCCTGAATTGTAATGATTACGAATCTTTATACATGCGGTATAACTAAAAACATGTCACCTAAAATTTTTACAAATTACTTTTACAAAATAATGTATATTTACACTCCCTTAACTCTCTTAAACACACTCTAAGCACACTGTATTAACTCTCCAAGCCTCTGCAAAATACATGGATTTTTGAAAAACTATGGCCTCCTGGGCACTCAGGGAGTATCAGCTACTCTACTACATACTGTGCTCTTCAGCACAGACTAGCGAGGTCACACGCGTCCCAAGAATCGGCTGTTCATACTCTCTGACGTGTTACAAAAATTAAAACTTACACAAACCAGGGAGGCACGAACGTCAAATGAAAAAGCTATTGTTTATAGAAGAGAAGATAAATGCTTTGGCAAAAACTGACGGCAAGTCATGAAAACTTATACTTTGGGACATAGGGGTAAAAATCAAAAACCAAAAGGAAATCTCCATTATAACTTCATAAGAAGCCAGCCCTCAAAAAGATTTCTTTACTATGAATTCACACTGCCTATGAAGTCAGAAAAACCCCAAGCCAAGAGTTGTGTTTGATGTGGTCCTGGGACGAGTGATAGTCCTAAGAAATGAGTTCCGTCAACACACACACACGTCACATAACACAAGTCACTCTAACTGCGAGGTAGCAAACAGCAGCAAAATCAAACTGATGAAGATTTTCACCTCAGTCAGTGGAAATAGCAAATACATAAATAAAATTTTAAGTATATTTAAAGAAATAAATGATGAGATTAAGAGGAATAGAGACTACAGAAAATGAAAATCAAATGATAAAGAACCAAATCAAACTCTGAGAAATGGAAATCATAGTCACCGACAGTCAAAACTCTATAAAATGGTTTAACCTCAGATCAGGTTCACCTGAACAGCGAATGAATAAAGTGCAAGGTGGAGCTGAAGAAATTATGCAGAATGCAGGACAAAGCAATGAAGAGTTGGGCGTCGTGCAGCATAGAGTAAGAAAATCTAACACATATCTAACTGGCATTCCAGAAGGAAAGGGAAAAGAGAAAAAGCATTCAGAGATAATAGTTGGAAAATTTTCAGATGCCCTAGGTGAGAAGAATAAATCAATTAAAAATCAAACCAAGTGTTAACAGCTCTTTTAGAATTTGTCTAGCAAGCTTTCCTACTAGAAAACCAGAAAGATTTTTAAAGAATCAAAATTAAAAAACAAACCAAAACTGGTCACAGTGACACTGCAAGACACCAAAACCAAAGAAGAGGTCTTAAAATTAGACAAAATAAAACAGGCCTCTTGTAGAAACAAGAATTAGACTGCAACCAACTTTTCAGCAACAACGGATGCCCCAAGGCAACAGAATGCTATCTTCTTCAATGATATCTTCAATGAGTAAAAGTAACCATTCATGATTAGAGAAAATGAATTCCACAAGGACAAAATAGACACTTTCAGACAATAATATGTGAAAAGAATCTTTCACCCACAGACCCTTACTAAAAGAATTTTATAAGCTCTAATTCAGTATTTTAAAACTCTTCCAGATGGAAGGTCCAGAATGCAAAGAATGATAAACAAAGGAGGTGGGTCAACACCAGGATTCCTATACAAGATAGTCTGTAAGTTTCCTTTTTAAAAAAGGTAGAACTAAAATACATATGAAAAATAGGCCAGGTGTGGTGGTTCACGCCTGTAATCCCGGGACTTTGTGAGCCAAGGCAAGAGGATTGCTTAAGGCCGTAAGTTCAAAACCAGCCTGGGCAACATAGAGAGACCCAGTCTATAAAAACTTAAAAAAAATCAACCAGGCATGGTACTATATACCTGTGGTCCCAGCTACTCAGGAGGCTGAGGTGGGAGGATCGCTTGAGTCTGAGAGGTCAAGGCTGCAGTGAGCCGTGATCGTGCCACACTGCACTCCAGCCTGGATGACAGAGCAAGACCATCTTAAAAATAATTTAGGGGAGTGTCGATTGCTTAATGTTTTGAGATCATTGAGGGTAAAGATGTTATCTAGAAAGTTAAGAATACATGTTATATTTTCTAGGTTAATTATTAGTATTAGCTGGCCCAGGCTGCCTTAGGGGGCATTTTCATACTCCAATTTTAGGGCTTACCTGGAATCACCCCCCACTGTTCTTTCTACTGCATGCACTCTCCCCGTTACTTCATGTGAAGGTGAGCCAGAAAAAGCCTATCTTCCTAACCTCAGGGAACCATAAGAACTTCTGATTGGGCACAGTGGCTCATTTGTGCCTGTAATCCCAGCACTTTCGGAGGCCGAGACAGGTGGATCACCTGAGGTCAGGAGTTTGAGACCAGACTGGCCAACACGGTGAAACATTGTCTCTACTAAAAATACAAAAATTAGCCATGCATGGGTGGTGCACACCTGTAATCCCAGCTACTCGAGAGGCTGAGGCATGAGAATCGCTTGAACCCAGGAGGCGGAGGTTGAGGTGAGCCAAGATTGTGCAACTGCACTCCAGCCTGGGTGATGGAGCGAGACTCTGTCTCCAAAAAAAAAGAAAAAAGAAAAAAAGAAAGAAAAACTCCTGAGTCCTGAACAGAGCAGCAGAAATAAAAAGGAGGGGGAAATGTCATGGTCTTAGATTGCCCATACGAAGTTCTTCCAGTCTGTGTAAGCCAGGGAACCTCAAGTCTTGAACTCTGTGATCATACCTAACCAGCAGAGGCCCCAAATGCCTGAGAAATAAACCTAAGGGCTTTGCAGAGGAGATGGCATGTATCCTAGCCCTAGGGGAATCCCCATAAATAATTCTCTATGTGCAATAAGCAGCATGCAGTCAAAGACAACCACAGACAGAAGAAACAAAACAACACTGCAACAACCAACTCAGGTAGAGAGATCATCCTGAACAATATTCCAACACTGTCAGTAATGGATTATAAAAACTGGGTGTTTTTAATGTTTAAAGCGGTTTAAAAAATTTTTTTTAATATTCTGGATACCTTTAATACATTTGTGAACAAATATTGATGACAACTCACTTTAAATAGATCAGTAACTGAGAACAGTGATACATTTCTTTTTGTGGCTCTATTGACCCTAATTGGTCAAAAGCACCTCGTTTTGCAAGACAATGGGTAAGGAAGAGAGGAAGAAAAAAGAAAAGGAGGCTGAAGAGGAGCCAAAGCCCAGGATTCTCTAGAAATGCATCAGCCTCCAGAGTATGGGAGTACATTGGGTCCCAGAAACCTCAGCGGGACCTAGTTCTCACAAACACAAGAGTGTCCAACGGATGAAACCTCAGCTGAAAACACAGAAGGTAGCAGTGTCCAAAGACATTGCAGGGTCTGGGAGGAACAAAGTTTGATAAGGTTGTTAACTATCACAGACTCAGCAGGATCTGGAGGAGTCACCAGTGGGGTTCTTCTCCCACTACCTTCAATAACCCAGGTAAAAAAGCAGGGGCAGCATAGTAAGATTTAATTATGGGTTATGCTATGGCTGGCAATATCCCAGGAGAAAAAAGAGTAAACTAAGCTATGTTTAGGATGCATGCTTATATAGTAAAATGCTAAAGAAGAAAAAAATAAAAGAAGGGTTCCACATGAAAGTCAGATAAATGGTCACACTTAAGGGGAGGAAGGTGGTTTTAACTGTGCAACTGGGAGGGGCACAAAAGGAGGCTTCTGGGGTACCAGAAATGTTTTTCTTTCTTGATCTGGGGAGTACGCATAATTCATAATTCACTAAGCCATGCATTTTTGCATTTTGAACTTTTAGGAATATGATATATTTCAAAATTTGAAAAGAAAAAACTAAAATATGCTGAGATATATGAAACTTCAACTATGGAAGGACAAGGCAAGGTAAGGCACTGGGTAAGGGACGAACAAGGGTGGAAGGCAAGATCAATGAAAAAGAGAAGTTGCTACTGGGTCAGCTGGAAGGAGCGTATACAAAGGAATCTTAATAATATTCCCTATATCATTAATGAAGACAGTAATCCACAGGTATTAGCAGTAGCTGTAACTTTATTACCAACAGACAGCATTAAAAATTTTGACATTATAATTATTGCAGATAACCCGGATTTATATTCATCAATTCATTAAACTCATCAACTTTAAAATGAAGGCCAGGAGTGGTGGCTCACACCTGTAATTCCACCACTTTGGGAGGCCAAGGCGGGCAGATCACCTGAGGTTGGGAGTTCTTGAGACCAGCCTGGCCAATATGGCGAATCCCGTCTCTAGTAAAAATACAAAAATTAGCCGAGTATGATGGCGGGCACCTGTAATCCCAGCTACTCGGCAGATTGAGACAGGGAGAATTGCTTGAACCTAGGAGGTGGAGGTTGCAGTGAGTCGAAATCGCACCTCTGTACTCCAGCCTGGGTGACGCAAGACTCTGTCTCAAAAAAAAAAGGAAAAAAGAAAAAGAAAAACTTCAGAATTAACATAGTTTTTAGGCCAGGGGCGGTGGGTCATGCCTATAATCCCAGCACTTTGGGAGGCCAAGGCGGGCAGATCACTTAAGGTCAGGAGTTCAAGACAAGTCTGGCCAACACAGTGAAACCCCATCTCTACTGAAAATATAAAAAATTAGCCAGGCATGGTGGCAGGCGTCTGTAATCCTAGCTACTAGGGAAGCTGAGGCAGGAGAATTGCTTGAATCCAGGAGATGGAGGGTGCAGTGAGCTGAGATCATGCCACTGCACTGCAGCCTGGGCAATAGAGTGAAACTCTACCTCAAAAAAAAAAAAAAAAAAAAGATAAGTTTTTAAATCCCCAAGGAACATGGCAAGACTTGAGTTGGAGAGTCAGGGGCTAATGTTTGAAAATGAGAATCCCTCACTCTACAGATGTCTGCATATCTGCAGGCTCACCATTTAAAGAAACAGGTGGATTCTCCTTTTAACAATAGATCATCTTTTAGATCCATCTTCTGACCTTTGTGTGGCTATGTGTGTACAGCTTTGTGTGGTTATGTGTGGGTATGGGAAAATATAAATACTAATTATCTGGATGACAGAATTACACATGGTTTGTATTTCTTTTCTTTATGCTTTCTGAATTTCCCAAATTATCTAGAACAAACTCCAAGCAATTAACAAAAGTTAACTGTTTTTAGTTTTCTACCTATATAAGGCAGAGCAAGTATTACGACAGCGTGTAAAAGACAAGCCTATAACTATAAACCACTAGATTGCTTTTACCAGCCCTAATTAACAATTCTAAAATGAGAAGATAATATTTATTTATTTATTCAAAAATTAAGGAGACAAACATGGTGGTTCATGCCTGTAATCCCAGCACTTTCAGGAGGTTGAGGTAGGAGGATTACTAGAGCCGAGTTCAAGACCCTGTCTCTAAAAAAAAATTAAAAATTAGCTGGGCATGCTGGAATATACCTGTTGTTCCAGCTTAAGCCCAGGAGGCTGAGTCTGTGATGAGCAGTGATCACATCACTGCAATTTAGCCTGGGTGACAGGGCCAGACCCTGTCTCGAAAACAAATTAATAAAAAATAAAAAGCACTATATTTAGTAAACCAACATACCAAAATTAAATATTTCTACAGGCTTTGATCTAACATGTCCTTTCGATAAATATTTTCTTTATAGCATAAACTGGACAAATATATAATAAACTTAATAACTATTAATAGTAACAATTCAAACTCATCCAGTTGAGTCAAGCAAAGTGCTCATTTCACATCTCCTAAGTTTCTGGACTGGGAAGCCACTAACCCATTAGATTTTCCTCGATTTCAATTACCTGAACAAAGGAGGCAAGAAGCAAACTACTACATAAAGTAAAATAGAGCTAAGTTTATTCATTCAACAAAATATAACAATCTAACATTGAAGTCCAAAAGCAAAGTTGAAAACAGTTTCCTTGTTCCCTAGAGGTACAAATTTTAAAGTACAGTACTGAAGAGTATCATACATTTGAAAGCTTACATATCTATTCAGCACATTCCTCCCCAACCTTTCCAATCATGTCTCTTAAAGGTTTTTACAGCTTGCTTCCATTGTAAGCTGCCTCTAGAAATATTTTCTTTCTTTGGAAAGAGACAGAGTTTATAAAATAATTTCTACATTAAAAATTTGAGGCCGGGGCGGTGGCTCACGCCTGTAATCCCAGCACTTAGGGAGGTCGGGGCAGGTGTACCACTTGAGGCCACGAGTTTGAGATCAGCCTGGCCAACACGTCAAAACCCTAAAGTGCAAAAATTAGCTGGGCCTGGTGGTACACACCTGTAATCCCAGCTACAAGGGAGGCTGAGGGTACAGTGAGCCAAGATCGTGCCACTGCACTCCAGCCTAGGCAACAGAGCAAGACTCTGTCTCAAAAATACATACACACATACATACACACATAATATTTCATAAGTACTACAATCAACCTTAAAGGGAAGTGAAACAGTTCTTTCTCTAGTAAGACTCATCCTGTTTGGCAGGATGAAGACTACCAAAAGAAAAAAGCAGTACTTATTTCTTGTTAAAACAATGATAGCATCCTAGGGCATACCAGTGGTTGCAGATATGAAAAATGAAAGCATAAATACTGGAATTACGCCACCTAATGTTTCCGGGACAACATTTTTAAAAAAGTGAATAGAGGCAACTTGGAGACTGTTAGTTTTGAGAAATGACAAATAATAGTATTGAAATTAAGGTGGCAAGTGTGGGTTCAGAAACAGTATTCATTTTTTACAAATTATTTTTATACCCTTAATTCTGTACATATCCATGAACCACCTCATCTTTGCTATGTACCTACTCTCACAAAATGTAGAATTAACATCTTGGCTCTCCTAAAAAAGTCTTTGTTCCTAGACAGAAATTCCCAGAGATTAGCAAACAAAAATTGGCAATTGACTGCTATTCTATATTCATCACAAGCCGATCACAAGTTAGAGTCTCTGAGCATTATAATGTTTACTTCTCAGTAAAAATATTACCTTTATGTTCCACATAAGGCTCCATATCCAAAATTTCTGAGAAGCCAATGTAGGTATTCAGCTTTTTCTTATGTCCAGTTTGCCTAACCAAGAGGAAAGCTGATTATATTTACATTTAAAACAATCATAACATATAAGCTCTATTAGCTATTTTAATAAACAGTAGGTAGCTTTCACTTAACAATCTTCCTCCAAAACATGTACAATTAGAAGTAAACAGAATTATTATTTTACAGCTGGACAAATAATAGGTTAAAAAATGTGAATTCAAAGTGCTGATTCCAAGCACAGCTTATTTTCCATAAGTTTCAGCTTAATCACAAAAGAAAAACAAGATTATCCTGCTTTACAGAAGACATACAGACATGCACATGTGCCAACATTGCCTTGATTTTAATTATAAAATGAAAAATACGTTCCCATGGCGGGGGTGTAATGAGTACAAAATTGATTCCATTTAAAATATCGGATAATACCGAAGGTCAGGGTAATTCACTTACTTATAGTTTTTCTTTTTTCTTTTTCCCAAGACAAAGTTTCACTCTTGTTGCCCAGGCTGGAGTGCAATGGTGCAATCTCAGCTCACTGCAACCTCCATCTCCTGGGTTCAAGTGATTCTCCTGCCTCAGCCTCCCCAGTAGCTAGTATTACAGGCATGCACCACCATGCCCGGCTAATTTTTGTATTTTTAGTACAGATGGGGTTTCACCATGTTGGCCAGGCTGATCTCAAACTCCTGACCTCAGGTGATCTACCAGCCTCAGCCTCCCAAAGTGCTGGGACTACAGGCGTGAGACACCGCAGCCGGCCCTTGCGTTTTGTTTTTTTTTTTTTTTATGTTTTTTGAGGTGGAGTTCTGCTCTGTTGCCCAGGCTGGAGTGCAGTGGCGCAATCTGGGCTCACTGCAAGCTCTGCCTCCCGGGTTCATGCCATTCTCCTGCCTCAGCCTCCCGAGTAGCTGGGACTACAGGTGCCCGCCACCACGCCCGGCTAATTTTTTTGTATTTTTAGTAGAGACGGGGTTTCACCGTGTTAGCCAGGATGGTCTTGATCTCCTGACCTCGTGATCCGCCCGCCTCGGCCTCCCAAAGTGCTGGAATTACAGGTGTGAGCCACCACGCCCGGCCTACAGTTTTTAATACTTTCTTAGAATAAAAAAAAATAAGGATTTTTTACTTTTCTAGTTATCAATTATATATGGTTGGCTTCTTTAAAATTTTTATAAAATCATGAAATACTGACATTTCAAAATGACACAGGCTCCATCTATAACTTTCATCCTCAAATCTAGAGTTTCAAATTACAATCATTTTATCATCTCATCTATCTATGGTAAAGTCTGTACACAGTAGACCACAATGAACAGCAAACACTACTATTTGCACACATTTACCTGTCAAAGACAAAACGCATTAGCTGCAAGTTCAGAGTGCAAGGAAGGCTAAGAAGTCGAATCTTTCTTGTTGCATTCTGTTTGCTTTGACAGTTCTCACAAAAATAGCGATTGTCTCCTTCTAATTTTTCTTCCTGATCAAGAATAAGACATATTAATTTTAAAAAGAAGATGGGTTTAAAACAAGTGATAAAACCCTTAATGTAAAGTATAATTTCATTTTAGTTAATAGCTCTCACGCTATTTAAAAACAGCTACTATAAATAATGGACATACAAAGTAATGGGAACTGTTCAGCAGTGACATTATCAAGTTGTATACACTGATATTTAAAACTGATGTGCCTATTTCCCAAATGTATGATATTAAAAATACTTGTTTTAGGTTCTTTGTCCTGGTAATCCCACTTCTGGGAATTCTAAAGTAAGTTTTAAAAAGAAATGTCACATGTATTTTGATGCAACATTCATTTAAAAACAGCAAAAAGGCTGGGCAGCATGGCTCATGCCTGTAATCCCAGCACTTTGGGAGGCCGAGGTGGGCAGATCACTTGAGGCCAGGAATTCAAGACCAGCCTGGCTGCCCTGGTGAAACCCCGCCTCTACTACAAAAATTAGCCAGGCATGGTGGTACACACCTGTGGTCCCAGCTACTCAGGAGGCTGAGACATGAGAATTACTTGAACCCAGGAGGTGGAGCTTGTGGTGAGCTGAGATCACACCTCTGCACTCCAGACTGGAAACAAAGCGAGACTCTGTCTCAAAAAAATGAAGGAAAAAAAAGGGGGGGAGTGTAAAAACTACATATGGGCACCAGAATACAAAATTATATACATATTTGGTTAAAATTACTGAAACATATTCATGAGACAAAGCTAAAAAGAGACGTGTAGAAAAATCAAACATTTTAGCTGATAGTGGTTTCTTTTTAAAATTTGCCTTTATATTTTTATAAAGCTAATTGCAGCCAATCATAGCTAACTGAAGACTCAAACTCCTGAGCTCAAGCTTTTTGTGCCATATTATCGTAAGTAATGCAATACTGGTACCATCATCTCTTCACTTGGCTTCCAGGATACCATACTCACCGACTTTCCTCCTAATTCACTGGCATTCCTCCAAACCTCTTCTGCCAGCTGCTCCTACCTCCCTAATCCCTAAAATTTGAATGTCCCAGGCCTCAGTCCTTGGGGATTTTATCCAGCCACGACTTCTTCCTGGAACTATACCTCTCAAATGTAACACGCTTAAAGCCAAACTCCTAATTCCTCTCAATCCTGCTCCTCTCAGGTCCTCCCCATCTCAGAGCAACTTCATTCTTTCAGTTGATCAGGCCAAAAACCTTAGTAATCCTTGACTCTCCTCTTACTCTCCCACATCCAGTCTGCAAATTTAAAAAAAAAAAATCTTTTTTTTTTAATTTTTTTATTTTTACAGATGGGGTCTTGCTCTGTCACCAAGGTTGGGGTGTAGTGGTGCAATCATAGCTAGCAACTACAGCCTGAAACTCCTGAGCTCAGGCAATTCTCCCGCCTCAGCCTCCTGAGTAGCTGGGAGTGTGGCTGTTCAACACCATGCCTGGTTAATTTTTTTATTTTTTGCAAAGACAGTCTATCATTATGTTGCCTAGGCTGGTCTCAAACTTCTGTTCTCAAATGATCCTACTGTCTCAGCCTCGTAAAGTGCTGGGATTATAGACATGAGCCACCACATCCGGCCCCGGCCTGCAAATTTTATCTGCTCTTAGACAATATATCTAAAAGCCAATTGGTGCTTATCACCTCTTCAGTTAACCCATGGTCCAAGCCACCATGCACTCCCATCTGCCCTCAACCCATCTTCAGCCTGTTCTCAGCACCCAGTTACCCTTTAAAACACACTGTATCACTCCTACGCATATGACCCTGATGATATCTCAACCTCACACAGAGTAGAAGTCAAACTTCTGACAAAGGTTTACTAGGCCCTCTCTGATATGGACCTTGTGTCATCTCTATGACTTTATCTTCTATCACTTACTCACTTCAGCCACACTAACCGCCCCCCGCCCAGGATGTTCCTCAATCCACCAGGCAAGGCACATTCTCATTTTGGGCTCTGCACTTGCTATTTCATCTACCCAGAACACTCTTCTCCTTGATTCTAACAGGGCTCACCCCTTCACCTTCAATCACTTTATTTCAAACTCCACCCACTCCACCCTACTCCCTAGCACATTGCCCAGCGCCACCTTCCCTGCTTTATTTTTCTCCACAGCCCTTATTATAGTTGACCCACTATCTATTCTAACTTTATTTTACTGTCCCTCCCAGGTGCCTATACCACTACTTTATAGGCTCCATAAAGGCTAATCCCCAAAGGCTGAAAGTATCTGACACAGTAAGCACTCAATAAATATTCAGTGGTCAGGCGCGGTGGTTAATGCCTGTATTCCCAGCAGTTTGGGAGGCCGAGGTGGGCGGATCACCTGAGGTCAGGAGTTCGAGACCAGCCTGACCAATATGGTAAAACCCCATTTCTACTAAAAAAAAAAAAAAAAAAAATAGCCAGGCATGGTGGCCCACACCTGTAATCCCAGCTACTTGGGAGGCTGAGGCAGGATAATCACTTAAATCCAGGAGGTGGAGGTTGCAATGAGCCGATATTGTGCCATAGCACTCCAGCCTAGGCAACAAGAGAGAAACTCCATCTCAAAAAAAAAAAAAATTCAGCGAAATGAATTCAATGACTACTTTAGGCATGCTCATGGATGAGCTGAGGAAGTAAGAAAGCACAAAATATATCTGAAGACAGCTAGCTAGCTAGCTAGCTAGATAATAAGCTTGTCTATTATGCTATGTATACACTCATGCTTGACAACAAAGGGTTCCTCTTAGCAGTTTTCCACTCAGAACAGAATCACTGAATTATCTCCACCTGAATCTAAATATACAGAAAGCAGAATGGCCTTACCAATGTAAAAAAGTTTCATATTTAACACATTCTAGTTTTCACTGCATGACAAGGTAAATTACCTTTATGATAACCGAGCAAAGAGCTCTTTCAATACTCCACTACCCACTCACAGAATAATATCTTCTCACACATACATAACTTTACATATAAAATAACTTGAAATAAGCAAAATTATTTTTAAGACACAGCCTGCTTTGGTACTTCATAAAGTTTCTTCTGAATCATTACACAAACAGAGACGCTTCTTATATAGAAAAAGCTGACACAATAAAAGCTCTAGTCACTAAATCAAAACAGAATAGCATTCAGCATACCATTTAACTGTTAATGGGCAGGAACAATACATACACCAAAATGTGAATACCTTCAAAAATTCCGAGATACAATCTGTTAACTGTTTGTGGCCTTGGATATTTAACTCCAGTTCGTAAAATTTTGACAAAAGCTTTGACTCTCTGCCACACTGGTTGCAACTATAATAAAATAGAATGACAAAATTCAAATCAGAGTGTGGAAAGCAACAAAGTTATATTGTATTACATCCTAGAAAGATGGAAAAAAGCATTTATAACCTTCATTAGTTCTCTTTCACAGAAATTACGTATACTAAAAATGAAATATAATCCCAGCATTTTGGGAGGCCAAGGCGGGCAGATCACAAGGTCATGAATTCGAGACCAGCCTGACCAACATGGTGAAACCCCGTCTCTACTAAAAATACAAAAATTAGCCAGGTGTGGTGGCGCGCGCCTGTAATCTCAGCTACTCAGAAGGCTGAGGCAGGAGAATCACTTGAACCTGGGAGGTGGAGGTTGCAGTGAGCCGAGATCACGCCACTGCACTCAGCCTGGGCAACAGAGCAAGACTCCATCTCAAAAAAAAAAAAAAGAAAGAAAAGAAAAGAAAAACAGAAAGTGACTGGTGAAGCTAAGCATTCACTGAGAAATTTGCTTAAAATAAATGTTAAGAGGTACAAATGCAGTTTTGTTACATGAACATATCGCACAGTGGCAAAGTCTAGGTTTCAGTGTCACCATCACCCAAATGCTGTACATTGTACTCATGCAAATTTTTTAACAGGCATTTTACATTTACTTTTAGTATTCTAGCCAGTTCCAATCTTCCTCTTTAACTCATACCACACAGCCATAAAGCAAGAGCAGATTGCAAGAGCTCACCCAGACACCATTCTGAACACCTGGATGGGTTCAACTGCAATTACCAACTCACTTGTTTATGTGTTCCCATGGAAATGTATTACCATAAATATTTCAAGTCCCATGATAACCCACTAAAGCTATAACCTGGAACTGCACTGAAAATTAGTTAACATATGAGCAACTGTCTTAGAACAAAATGTATCATGAAAAAGTTGAAACAGACTTACACAGTTACATAGGCATATTCTCCACAGAACTGCTGTTGAACAATGTTCCGCACATCTGGATTCTTTTGTTTAGACAAAGTATCTTCCAATAGAGACATAAAGAGCTTTGAAAATTCTTGAGCATCCTACAAGTTTAGGTTATTGAAAAGAAAAATCACATCTTGCTTTTCAACTTCTACTACAAATAGTAATATATTCAATATTCCAGAATCTACCTATACTTTCAACTTAACATTTTCAAAAAGGGGCTACAGCTATGTTCAGTTTGTGCCCACATATGAATTTCCATAAATGGAATCAAGTATAATGTGTAAAATATTGGACAGTAAATAAAGGCTTTCACTCAAAATAGAAAAAATTTAATTTTAAAAAGCATTCCACTTCATCTCCCTTTATAAACATTCTAAGGAATGCTTGGGTACCTCTGAATATTTAAAAAAAAAAAAAAATTCCGTTCTTACCTGCTGTTGTCCAGTGTCTAGGCCCAAGGCTTTAACAAATCCCGATGGATCAATGTATCGCCTATTGCTGTTTTGCAACAAGGCAAACAAGTACTGGAGATGCTCACAAATTGTTTGAGGCTCATAATCTATTAAAACAAAAATATACATTTGGGTTTTTTTTAAGTTGCTACTTTTCTTTTCAGAAAATGGTACTTCCTCTTCACATGAGAACATAAACACCCCTACATCCAAACTAGATTAAAACTTTATTATCAGTTTAAAACTTTAAAATAAAAAGATTGAGAGCGGTGGCTCACGACTGTAATCCCAGCACTCTGTGAGGCCAAAGCAGGGACCAGAAGCTTAAGACAAGCCTGGCTAACATGGAGAAATCCCGTCTCCACTAAAAAACACACAAAAATTAGCCGGATGTGGTGGTACACACATGTAATCCCAGCTACTTGGGAGGCTGAGACATGAGCATCTATTGAGCCCAGGAGGAAGAGGCTGCAGTGGGCCGAGATTGTGCTACTGCACTCCAGCCTGAGCAACAGAGCGAGACTGTCTCAAAAACAAAAAACAAAGCTGGGCACGGTGGCTCACACTTGTAATCCCAGAACTTTGGGAGGCCGAGGCAGGAGAATCAACTGAGGTCAGGAGCTCAAGACCAGCCTGGCCAACATGGTAAAACCCCACCTCTACTAAAAATACAAAAATTAGCTGGGTGTGGTGGTGAGCACCTGTAATCCCTGCTACTCGGGAGGCTAGGGTACAAGGGTAGCTTGAACCGAGGAGGCAGAGGTTGCAGCGAGCAGAAATCATGCCACTGCACTCTAGCCTGGGTGACAGAGCGAGACTCTTTAAAAAACAACAACAACAACAAAAAACAACTTTAAAAGACACGGCGGGCGTAGTGGCTCAAGGCGGGGTGTGGTGGTTCACGCCTGTAATCCCAGTACTTTTGGAGGCCGTGGTGGGCGGTTCACGAGGTCGGGAGTTCAAGACCAGCCTGGCCAACATGGTGAAACCCCGTCCGTCTCTACTAAAAATACAAAAATTAGCCAGGCATGGGAGTACACGCCTGTAATCCCAGCTACTCGGGAGGCTGAGGCAGGAGAATCACTTGAACCCAGTAGATGGAGGCTGCAGTTAGCTGAGATCGTGTCACTGCACTCCAGCCTGGGCAACAGAGTGAGACTCTGTCTGGGAGGAAAAAAAAAAGAAATAGAATTAGCAACCATGTTTTGTGGACGTCATGAGGCGGCCAGGACTGTCCACATACACTCCCCAAAGGCAAGAGCCTACCTGTATTAAAGCAACAACAGCAATCATGACTACAGTGTCTAGTCATGATTTTTTAAAGTTCAGTTAATGTGGACTTGGGATCTCAAGCACAGCAATTTACACTCAGGTGAAGAATACAATACCCTAGAATTTTAGAGTTGAAAGTTTTAATGAGCTAGTGCAGCGGATGGAACAGAAAGCATGGATCTTAAGAGCCCAGAAGACCAAAGTCTTATCTTCTTTAAGTTATTAACTTATTGCTTCTCAGCTCCAAATCCACCCTTCTTTGCTTGCTCAGTGATGAGAGACGGGCCCTGCAAATACTTGTCCTTTGCCAGTTATCAAGAAGGTAAGGCTTATCAGTGAAGGGCACTGCAGGGTTCAGTTGTGCCTCCTCACTAGCCTGCTGCAGGTCAGCTTCCTCCAGGGCTCCAGGTTCCTGCCCCTAACAGTGGTCAGCAGCTTCCCCAGCACCTCTTTTAATAGCTTCACAGTACAGTGCCTCCAGTGAGGCACTTCCTCTCGAATGACCACCCTGTGAACGGCCTCCCACCCTTTCAGGTGACTCTGTAGGGGGTTCCAGGGCCCAGCACCTTCTCATGGACAGTTTCCAGTAGGGACGCCCAGGGAGGCATCTCAGCACCTTTTCAGCCACCCAGTGCATCCCAGCAGTGTCCAAAGAGGTCTGGATCTCAAGCCTGGGCCATGGGGGTGGCAGACTGTCCGTTGGATGTTCTCTTTCAGCCCCAGGGATACAGGCTGCTCCCTGTATCTGCTGTCCTTGTATTCTTTAAAATCCTCTTTAACTTTTATCAACCAATTACTCATTTCTCTAATTTCCTGTTATTAATTCTCAACTTTCCCTTTTCAAATTCTTCTGTCTTCTAATTGGACTCTAAATATTTATCTCTTTACTACCAACTGTGGCTTTCAGCAAGTCAATACATCATCTTCAAAATAAAGATAAAATATTACTCCTTGGGCTGCAAAAGCACTGCAGGCCAGTAAAAGCTATTTAAGGCCAGGAGCTGTGGCTCATGCCTGTAATCCCAGCACTTTGGGAGACCAAGGAAGGTAGATCGATTGAACCCAGGAGTTTGAGACCAGCCTGGGCAACATGGTAAAACGCTGTCTCCAGAAAAAATACAAAAATTAGCAAGAGGTGGTGGTGCACGCCTGTAGTTCCAACTACTTGGGGGGCTTTGGCAGGAGGATTGCTTGAGCCTGGGAGGTTGACACTGCAGTGACCTGTGTTTGCACCAGCCTGGGCAAAAAAGTGAGACCCTGTCTCAAAAAACAAACAACTAACAAAAGAAAACCTTTTCTGTTCAAATTATTGTGTGGCTTCTGTCTTCTAATCAGACTGAATATTTATATCCTTACTACCAACTGTGGCTTTCAGCAAGTCAATATATCATCTGTAAAATAAAGATAAAATGTTACTCCTTGGGGTGGAAAGGCTTTGCAGGCTGGTAAAAGCTATTCAAGGCATGGCACCATGGTTCATGTCTGTAATCCAGCACTTTTGGAGACCGAGACAGGAGGACTGATTGAGGCCAGAAGTTCAAGACCAGCCTGGGCAACAGAGAAGACTCTGTCTCTATTAAAAAAATAAGTTTAAGCTAGGCACGGTGGCTCACATCTGTAATCCCAACACTTTGGGAAGCTGAGGCGGGCGGATCACCTGAGGTCGGGAGTTCCAGACCAGCCTGACCAACATGGAGAAACCCCGTCTCTACTAAAAATACAAAATTAGACAGGCACGGTGGTGCATGCCTGTAATCCCAGCTACTCAGGAGGCTGTGGCAGGAGAATTGCTTGAACCTGAAAGGTGGAGGTTGCGGTGAACCAAGATTGTGCCATTGCACTCCAGCCTGGGCAACAAGAGTGAAACTGTCTTAACAAAAAAAAAATTAAGTTTAGGCCAGACACAGTGGCTCACACCTGTAGTCCCAGCACTTTGGAAGGCCGAGGCAGCCAGATCACTTAAGGTCAGGAGTTCGAGACTAGCCTGGCCAACATAGTAAAACCCTGTCTCTACTAAAAATACAAAAATTAGCCGGGCGTGGGGGCGGGCGCCCGTAATCCCAGCTACTCGAGAGGCTGAGGCAGGAGAATCGCTTCAGCGCAGGAGGCAGAGGCTGCAGTGAGCCAAGATGGCGCCACTGCACTCCAGCTTGGGAAACAGAGTAAGACTCAAAAAAAAAAAAAAAGTTAAAAAAATGTTCAAGAAGAGAGCTCTCCCCCACCCCTTTCACCCACCTTTTTCTTCTTGGATGCCGTCTCCCAACACGTAGTCACTACAAGTGCTTGGACATAAATAGAGTGCCTGCCGAAGCTCCAAGTTGAGAAACCACACCTGAAGAAATGTGTTGACGTAACAAGTGGCTCCGAGGTTAGTCAGGCCCACAAACGAGTTCTACAAAATACAAAATTTATCATTATAAAATCCACTGTCCTTTAAACAACACATTTCTAAGCATTATTCTTAAATTTTCAGATTAAAAATTTGTAAGACCGTCACAACCAACATGGTATAGCCACCTTAAGTTTCTCTTGGCTGGAAGTGGGGCATAATTTTCATGAAAGCCCCATTTTGGGTTGACCACAGGAGTGAAAAAGACTTCGGACAGCATCACTGCTCATCTCTAGCATATCGTCTTCTCCAGCCACTTAAATCTAAAATTAGAACAGTGGATTCTAGAAAAGATCGGTTTTGAACAAGCGTATATAGGTTTTATGTTTGCTGTATTTCTAAACTGCCAGCATTCAGTAGAATGACCAAGTAAAACTTATGCAGGAAACTTTCTTTATATTCTAGAGATTTTAAAGATTGGGGGTGGTAGAGGGAACTGGCTGCAACTTTTTCCAAAGATAAGGTTGGGAATTCCTGACCTTACAAAGAATTATTCTTTTATTAAAATACCTATACAACAAACTTGGCTATTTCGTGAACGCTAAGCTTTAGGTTTAGAAAATTTAATGTATATTTTTAAAAAGCAAAATTATATATAAAATACAAGCCCTAGAAAGCAAAATGCTATCATCGTGAGTTTGTTCCCTTGAATTACCATCTCCTTTAAAGAGGCTTTAAGATTTCGAAATAAAACATGCAATGTTAAAGCAAACATAGAATCAGCATTCAAACTAAAACTATTATTTAAAGGCTTACTGAATTACGCAGCTGCCTGTTCTAAAGTATATCATTAAGAAGTGTTCCAATTCAAGTGGCTTAGAGCCTTAAGTTCTACTACTTATCTTAAAGCTGCACAGGTTACCTGAAATCAGCAGAGCTTTCTGATCACAGGCCCAAAACAAAAGCAAAAACAAAAACAAAAAAATAGCATAATAGCAATCGCTTAAAAAATGATGGTTTACCTTTTTTCTCCTCTCACAGTTGGGATCGTCGATGTTATGAAAACTATTTTCATCTATTTCTCCTAACCAAATATGCTCACCAATACCAACCAAGCAATTCGGATTTCCTTTGCAGTTTCGTCTAAGGAAAAAAAAAAAAAGTTTAACTTTTAAAAGACCATAGTTTCATGAGAGACAAACAAATTAAAACTACAATGAGATAACACTTCTCACCTATAAATTAGCAAAACTGAGAAAGTATAAGACACTCATTTTTTGAGGCTGTCGAGAAGCAAGCATGCATATCCTGCTGGAAGAAATGCAATTGCTGACAAAACTACATAGACAACTACCTTTAGACCTAGCAATCTCATTTCTGAGGATTTATCCTTCCTTAGGCTATACCTCCAACAACGCAAAATCTCATGCATAAGGTTATTTATTACAGCACTGTCTGTTAATCACAAAATATTGGAAGCCACTGAAATGCCCAAACACAGATGATATGGTACATCTATATGGCAGAGTACTAGGCAACTGTAAAACACACACACACGCAAAAAAAACATACACACACAGCATGAAAAAGATCTCTATGAACAGATATGAAGTAATTTATAAATCCAGGACACATTATTAAGTAAAAAAAGCAAAATGCAAAGAGTATCTGTAGTATACTGTTATATGTAAGAAATATATAAGAAAATATACGTGCACATATATTGGCTTATTTTGAACAAAAAGAAACACAGAAAGGAAAAACCAGAGACTAATGAAACTGGTTACCTACAGAGCATGAGTGGGAATAAGGTTAAAAAAAAAATGTACCTTTTTGGCCGGAGGCACAGTGGCTCACACCTGTAATCCCAGCACTTTGGGAGGCCAAAGCAGGTAGATAACAAGGTCAGGGGTTCGAGACCAGCCTGAAACCCTGTCTCTACTAAAAATACAGAAATTAGCCAGGTGTGGCGGTGCGGGCCTGTAATCCAGCTGCTTGGGAGGTTGAGGCAGGAGAATCGCTTGAACCCGGGACACGGAGGTTGCAGGGAGCCAAGACTGCACCACTACACCCTGGCCTGAGCGACAGAATAAGACTCTGTCTCAGAAAAAATGAATGAATGAATGAATGAATGAAAAGGAAATGTACCTTTTCGTATAATGCACAATTTGGGACCATGTGAGTGTTTCTCATACTACTTCACGCACGCACACAAACGAAAATAAATCAACTGGCTAGGCATGGTGGCCCACGCCTGTAATCCCAGTCCTTTGGGAGGCCAAGGCAAGAGGATCACTTGAGGTCAGGAGTTTGAGACCAGCCTGGTCAACATGGTGAAACCCTGTCTCTACTAGAAATACAAAAATTGGCCAGGCATGGTGGTACACGTCTGTAATTCCAGCTACAGGCTGAAGACTGGAGGTTGATGCAGGAGAATTGCTTGAACCCAGGAAGTGGAGGTTGCAGTGAGCCGAGATTGAGCCACTGTACTCCAGCAAGGGCAACAGAGTGAGACTCTGTCTCAAAAAAAAAAAAAAAAAATCAACAAGGATGTCAGGAACCCTAACTAAATTCAAAACAGAAAACATTTCAACTAACTAAAAGATCCAGACTGAAGGGAAAGCAGGAGTGGGGGAGGGGCAGGGAGGGGTGTGACTGACCAAAGTAACTTGAACAGTCATCAAGCTCATTTAGTAGTACCCTCTGGCTAAGGACAAAAGGAACAAACATCCAACTCTAATTAGTAGGCTTCTTTTCCATAGAGACATGGGTTAATAATTCTGAAACACAGATCCTGACTTCTAAATATTATCCAGTAAAAGAATCCAGTGCTCCTTGGAGAAATAAATGGCTGATTCCAAGGCCAGGGTAGTCAGTGAAATTAGAAAATGAACCTACAACATCTTACCGTGTCCTAAAAGGATGTACTGAAAGAGTGATAGAGACATGTTAAAAGAACACGAGAGCTGGCTGGAAGGGGAGGTCCCACTGGTCAAATTTGGCAACAAAATTTAGCAACAAAATAAGCAATAGTATAAAGTAAGAATCCATCACTTCATGGTGAGATGGATGGAAGAAAAATCTCTTCCTTTTAGAAAAAAAACCAACTACCAAAGTGGAAGGAACGACAGAATTAAAAATCTCCATTTGACATACATCAGATTCAGAAAAGAAAAAGAATCAGGCAAGAATCATCACGTATGCTAAACTAGGCAAGTTGGAGAAATAACAACATTTACAATGTCTCAAAGTATCTCAGCACAAGTTAATTACAAAGGGAAAGATAGTAACGTTCAGTGGAGAAACCTGGCAGACACCACCTTAACCAAATACTTAAATTTAACACACCCAGTAAGGAATCTAATTGACACCACACACCTTCTGGTATAATGCACAGCACAGAATCACTTCTGTGATGTTCTGGCCAAAAATGCACAGCCTTAATTGAATCATGAGGAAACATTAGACCAAACCAACTCAAGGGACTTTCTACAAAATAAGTCACTGTCATGAAATACAAAGAAAGATCCACTAACTGTTCCAGATTAAAGGAAACCGAAGAGACACAACTGAATGTAACATACGCTTAGCTTTTCTTTTGCTATAATGGAACATTACAGGACAAAGTTCTGCGCATCTCTGTAGGATGCCCACTAAAGATTACCGGTAACAGTAAAAGACTGGAAATTCATATGGAAGTAATAAAATAAATTACAATATAACCAAACAATTAAAAACTACTGCTGTCATAAAATAAAAAGGTAGGCCGGGCACAGTGGCTTATGCCTGTAATCCCAGCATTTTGGAAGGCCCAGGCGGGTGGATCACAAGGTCAGGAGTTCGAGACCAGCCTGGCCACCATGGTAAAACCTCATCTCTACTAAAAATACAAAAATTAGCCAGGTGTGGTGGAGGGCGCCTGTAATCCCAGCTACCCAGGAGGCTGAGGCAAGAGAAATCACTTGAAACTGGAAGGCGGAGGCTGCAGTGAGCTGAGATCATGCCACTGCACTCCAGCCTGGGAAACAAGAGCGAAACTCCATCTCAAAAAAAATAAAAATAAAAATAAATAAATAAAAAGGTAGGGAAAGTTTTTAATGTTGTGATATATAACGGTATCATTAGTTGAAAAAAGGTGGGCCAGGCATGGTGCATCCCAGCACTTTGGGAGGCTGAGGCAGGCGGATAAACTGAGGTTGGGATTTCAAGACCAGCCTGACCAACATGGAGAAACCCTGTCTGTACTAAAAATACAAAATCAGCCGGGCATGGCAGCACATGCCTGTTAATCCCAGCTAGTCGAGAGGCTGAGGCAGGAGAATTGCTTGAGCCTGGGAGGTGGACGTTGTGGTGAGATCGTGCCACCGCACGCCAGCCTGGGCAACAAGCGTGAAACTTTGTCTTAAAAAAAAAAAAAAAGGAAGGTACAAAATGTTGCCATTTTTTAAAATTTACAAATGGGGTAAACACACTTGTTTGTTTAGATAGAAAAGTATGCTATAAAGTGGAAACAACTTTATCGGCAAAGATTATCTCTGCACTTGCCAGATGTAAGTCAGAAGTAAACAACACTCTGAACTTCCTTTTTTTTTTTTTTTTTTTGAGACTCCCACACTGAAGTGGCACATTCATGGCTCATTGCAGCCTCTACATCCTGGACTTAAATGATCCTCCAGCCTCAGCCTCTGGAGTAGCTGGGACCACAGGTGCATGCCACCATTCCTGGATAATTTTTTAATTTTTTTTGGTAGAGACAGGGTCCCGCCATGTTGCCCAGGCTGACCCCATCCTTTTCATATCTTTCAGACTTTGAACAATAAAATGTACTACATATTCCAAAAATAAGTAAATAATTGTTTTAATATTCTGTTTAAACATACTGTCTTCTAAAATATAAAAATAAAGCTGGGTGTTGTGGCACATGCTTGAAATGCCAGCTATTCAGGAGGCTCAGGCAGAAGATGGCCTAAGCCCAGGAGTTGAAGGCTGCAATGAACTATAATTGCACCTGGGAACAGCCACTGCACTACAGCCTGGGCAACAAAGTGAGACCCTGTCTCTATTTTAAAACTTTTGAAATAATAAAAATGAAAACTCAAGTTCGACCAATTTAAGAACAGTTTTGTCAGCTTATGTCAAAGCCAGGAGGGAAAAAAGCTTATTAATGAAATAAAAGTAGAACCTATCCACTGTGGGGAGAACCAGCTAGGGTTTTTAGTGCTTATAACTTACCTCTAATGGGAAAGGTCTACTATAAAAGAGTTAAAGAAACAAAACTGACCAGGCACGGTGGCTCCTGCCTGTAATCCCAGCACTTTGGGAGGCCAAGGTGGGCAGATCACTTGAGGTCAGGAGTTTAAGACCAGCCTGGCCAACATGGCAAAACCCCGTCTCTACTAAAAATACAAAAATTTGCCAAGCGTGGTGGCGTGTGCGTGTAATCCCAGCTACTCGGGAGGCTGAGGTGAGAGAATCGCTTGAACCAGGGAGACGGGGCTTTGTAGTGAGCTGTGATCGTTGCAGTGAGCTGTGATCGCACCACTGCATTCCAGTCAGGCTGGGCAACAGAGCGAGACTCTGTCTCAAAAAAAAAAAAACAAAAGAAAAAAGAAAAGAAAAGAACGCTGATTCTGGGACTGAGAAAAGTAACATAAAATCTTTCCTGGGAACAGTGACAAGGATATATTAGGAAGGTTCTTTTGAAAGAAAACTACAGCTAGTGGCAATGGACTCTCTCAAGGGTCTTTGGGAGATAGGAAAAAACAGTGTCAGTAACCATGCTGAAAATACACCTCTAAAACAAAGTAGGCACTTATTTTATCAATTCTTTCAACTCTGCTTTTCAAAGGTGTAATATCAAGTCTTGTTTGTTCACTCCCTCCTCTTGGACAAGTGGGTGGTAAACATGTTTCACATGACTTGGCTGGGGAGGCAGACACTCCCATGGGTCAAACACATACATGATTCTCAGAAAATAGTTCCAGTGGATCTGGTCAGATTTTAGTTTTCAGTTCCTGATAGCAAAATAATTCAGACAATGAACAAAAGGTAGGCTCTCCCTGTCCTCACCTCTACCACTCCCCACCCAAAAATCGCGCATATTTAACTGGTTCTAAAGCTGGCATCAAAAGGCAAACACAACC